TCCACTTCTGCTTCTTTGCATTGCGATCAAATCGTAGATAATCGAAAGCAACGTCCCAAGGACATGGTTAATTAGTGATCTGGGGCCAATATGAGAGGTTATTTCAGGCTTTTCAAAGAGCTGCTCAAAAGTGAAAGCGTGAACTATAAATTCTAGCAGCAAGCAGGTGCTTAGTAAAAACCATACGTTATGGCCTGGTCTTTCTGGCTGTGTGGTGGTTTGGGTGATAGGGAGATGGGAAACGGGAATAATGGAATTGAATGCACTGACCCGTCCTTCTGCTTTGGTAGTAGCTGGTTTTAAATGCTCTCTCTCTCTCTCTCTCTCTCTCTCTGCAAACACCCTTTCCCCTCATCTTTAAATTTCCCCCAGACATTCTTCCTCCTCCTTCACACACCCTCCTCTCCAACATCTCATTGCTCTCTTGTTTTCTTAATTTCCCTCTTTCTTTTCTCTCTTTGTCTGGCTATGTACACCCTCAGGAGCTTCTGATTCATTCCCTTCGACAGACATGCATAGCTAATTCATATTTTCTCTTACACGAGGATTGATGGTGGTGCTCAGGATTGATTTGCTTTATATACACATGCATGAAATAGGAACTGCGATATTGGCCTGGTTCACTCAGACAAATTAATTAAAGCATGCATACACGATCTTGAACCAAATTTGGACTGGCGATCTGATTTGATCTGATTGAGCCGTGCCAATATCTTAGTTCTTTTTCATATATCCCAGCAACTTGTAATGGGAATCCAAAAGGTTTGGTTTCTTCCATCATCATGACCTTTCGGATAGTCCATGATCACTATTAGGGTTTTCCAGAATTTCCATTTCTTTTATCTTTCTGACTCTCTCTTAGTATTTCTTCTAAACTTTTAACTCCTTGCTTTGTGATGATTCAAGTATTTCTTTGCTAGAACGTCTTGGATGCTATTACTTGATTAAAACTGTATGGGATTTGGTTTAGTTAGTGATAATTTTACAACAAAAGAATATTGACACACACACACACACACACACACTAATTTGGTCGATCTTGTATATACATTCATCCATTCATATTGTGGTTTATATGGCTAGTTTATAGCAATTAATGAAATGTAATTTGCACTACTAATCATTCTATTTGAGATTTTCTCGATTTACCCCTTTTTTTTTTGGCTGGCAAACTAATATCCAAGATTTGGAGAATTAGATGAACCAGTTCATCTTTAACTCAAATGTGTATACGTTACATGTCAAAAAACGCTGTCATCTTTAACTCTTGTACTATCATTTACTCTCACTCCCAACTAGCTAGTATATATCATATATATATTTCAAGAATCTAGATTTTTATTTTTTTGGTTTATCTCAGAAATCTAATTGTGGGATTAAATCTTGTAATTGCCTGGCATTAATGTCTGGAAGGTAAGAAGTATAAAGGTACGGACAGACTATTTCTGAAGGAATTGTTACCTACTCACCTTTATGTCTGGAATTTAGCTAAAATTCTGGCGAAGTACAAAGTCATAGAAATCAAACGCTGATGGTAGCTGGAACTGCAGGATCTACTGAGAAAATAACGCTCAGTTGTAGGTTTAAATTCATCTTTGCAGGATGTCAATCCAATTGTTTTCCTTCCATCAGCAAAAGACAGCAAACATTGCCAATAATTAATGAGATAATGAGATAACACACATTGCCAATTCACATTAAGAAGCTCTCTTAAGTTTCTACAGCAAATTAAGGGGAATTCATAAGTTAAACATCTATACGCTGCACTTTTTCGTTCTTCTTTTTTCTTAAGAAACATTTGTCTAATTGTTATCCAATATCTATTTTCCAAAGTAAATCATTCCCCACATCACTTGTAGGCTTGCGAGTTGAAACTTGAACTCGACTCGATTTGTTACTCGAAGCTTGAGCTTTGCGAGTTGGAGTTTGAACTTGACTTGATTTGTTACTCGCAGCTTGAGCTTTGTAAAATCGCGTCTGAGAACGGGACTGCTTGTAGCACCCTATCTATCAAACACTTGTAATGTTGATGGCTGCATTCTTATAACCATTTCGGATCCAATCCCAGTTGGATAAGTGAACAAAATCTTCTATGAGCCCTTAATGGGCGGGGCGGTGGTGAGTGTTTGGGCCAACCAAAACCTTGAAACAGATGTTAGATTGGTGCCCGTTTCGTTATTTGCTTGCAGTTAGATGTGTCTAAAATGGGTGATTTAGGCCGGTTCGGATTGATTAAAATGGGTAACGAATATAAGTGAGTCAACCCATTTATACTTATTTAATTAAATGGATATAAATGGATAAGTCAAAAAATGAACTGGGTAATCTAATTACCCATTTAGAACTCATTTATTTTAACTTTTTGCAAACTACGTTATTAATTTATACCACCTTTTGCACCCATCATTAGTTTTAAATATTTAATTATAATGCTCAATAAGTCTAATTACCAATTTTTTTCCCATCCGTACTCTATGTTGCAAAATTATATACGATTTAATAATTGAACAATAAAAATATAAAATTTTGAATAAAAACCTAATCCAAAAATTTTGAACCCTTGGCATTTTTTCGTGTGTAAATTTAAATTTTCATTTTGAAAAGAGGCTAAAACTTGTCATAAATTGGTAATGTTGAAAAATGAGCAAGTTAACAAGCTAAGAGAAAATAAAATGATAAGATAAAACCAACAAATAATAATAATAATAATGAAACAAAAGTAGTTAACATTATGACAAAATGAAATTTTTGAAAAAAAAAAAAAGGGTGGAAGAAGAGATCGAGGAGGTTTGGGGGAAGACAATTCTAAATAGATTAATTGGATTTGATTAGTTAACCCAATAATACCCATTTATTCATGAGTATTATTGGGTAACCCTTGTGCAAAAACTTAAGATACTCGTACCCATCCATTCATGGACGGATATGAGTAAATTAGTTAGTTAAATGGATTTATTTACCACCTATACTTGTAGTAATAGAGTAACGCTCAGCAGCAGTAGATTTAAACTCATCTTTGTTGAATGTTAACAAACGTGTGTTTTCGTTTTCCTTTGCTAGTAAAAGACAACGTACATTGCCAATGCCTGTTGATATTTCTAAAATATCACTTAAATTTGAAGATAGTAAAAGACAACGTACATTGCCAATGCCTGTTTGCAAGCGTATATTGCTAGTAAAAGATTGTCTTGAGCCATTTGAAGAGAGAGGTTCTAAAAGATAGTAAAAGATAGCCTGTTTGCCAATGCCTGTTTTCCAGCTAGCCCCTGTTGATATTTCTAAAATATCACTTAAATTACCCTCATCCACGTTCCTTGAGAAATCCGGCATTACATATTCAGGACTTGACCTAATTCTTGAACTGCTACCAAAACATTTGATCTTTTGACTCTCAGCTTGTCACACCAAAATGGTGCGTCCTGTCCTCAGATGCAACCCGCTTTCCATTTCCAGAACCATCAATGCGATTGCAAGTCCAACAAATAGCAGCCATTCTACTTCCTTTATTTATAATCAATCAATTACTTGAGCAAATTAAGTTAGGTCATTCATGACGTAGCTAGGTAGGATGTTATTAATAATCTAATCACTGTATATGAATGACTTGTGTACATTTAAACTCCATACTTGGTTGCAGCAGCTCTGACCACAGCATCAATATACAAATACTAGCTGCAGGTTTCTAATCTTTACAGCGATTTCCATTTGCCGCATACAATGAACGCAGCTAGCTGCCACCACCCACCTTATATACTTTATATTCAATTCTTCAAAGTCACATACCTCTTTTCATCCACATGCATTCCACCTCAAGTGTTTCGGATTGGCTCCAACAAGCAGGCCAGGTGTGCAATATATTATATGTTATCCTTAGAAACTCAGGTTTTCAATGAAGCCTTTGCAGTCTACCGACCGTCGGGGTCCTTCAGAATATTGAACCTACCTAATTCAATTGACTTTCCATTACGTATTAGCAGCACGTTTTTTCTTTCTGTAGAAGTTACTCTTTTAGTCGAGGGCCTCGGTTTGCCCAAGATTGATTCCTCTTAATTTTCTATATAGCAAGTTGCATATTAGAAATGGAAGAACAAATGCCTTAGTCCACTGCTTTCAGCACACTTACCTTTTAATACAACATTACTTTACAATTTCTTTTGATGAGTTACTTTTGATTTAAACATTGACGTCTCAGCATCAAGCAAAGAAAAAGGGGAAAAGAAAAAAGTTCAAACTAACACACATGAAGCAGTTCATCGAGAAAATAACTAGTTAAAGACATTTTATTGACCACAAGATTTTTAGATTCAAATACTACAGGATATCCCTACCGTTACTTTCTCTCTCCGTCTTTGATCAACACAAAATAAATTCATTGAGAAAAATGTAAGAATTATTCGAGTGAAACTGATTATTCAAGTATATAATAATCGGATATATTACTTTTGTTACAATGATTTTCACCTATCCGCGATACTCTATTTCCATTAATTAGCTCAAAGAGGGCCAAAAGAAAAAAAAAAATCCACAACAAGCAAGTAGATGGGAATGTTGGGAGAGGGTTGAATTAGATAATAAGTTAAGAAAAATTAAAAGTAGAAGGTCAAGATTATAGTAAATTTCCATCTGGATAACAATTGCATTATAATTTCTTTCATTTTGGTAGTAAACCTGAAATAAAAAGGAAAACCAAATCTTTTGCAATTAAGACCAGATTGAGAAAAAAAAAAAAAAAAAGAGAACCCTCCGAAGAATATGCCATTTGTACTCCATGCAGGTCAAGGGAACATGTGATTCTTGTGCAGGCTCTTTATTTTATTTTCTTCAAAATCTTAATAATGTTAAAGGATAAACTCGTAGGCTGACTCAGCAAGGTCTATACCATTAGATGTAGTGGACCCACATAGCTTGCCACGTCATGCCCACATTGCTCCCATGCCAATCCTGAAACAGTACAAATGTACAATTAAAAAAGCGAACAGAAAACGCAAAAACAAAAACTGACTCAGCACAGTCTCAACGCCGACTAATTTCCTACTTCTCAGTTCTCTCTCTCTCCCTCAACCTCGACCTCGACTTTTTTGCTAAATCACCATGTTTATCCATTTCTTCTTCGACGAATCAATCAAATCCAGTCCTTTAATTATGCTACTTAAGAATTAATTACGATACGGAATTCCTTTATTACCCGCTGATACCTCCAGAAGGATTTTTTTTTATTAGCGGAACAGTTTGTAGGAAAAAAAAAATGGCGATGGATGATAATGAGAGCTGCGGCAGCCGATCAGTGGAGACGGCGTCGTCGAAGCAGAGCCGCCATGAGAGACAGCGGTTTGAAGTTTACACTGAAGTTCTGAGCCGTCTCCAGGATTTGGATCGCCAGGAGGTTAAGCTCCCTGGCTTCGAAGACCAGCTCTGGCACCATTTCAATCGCCTTCCTGCTCGGTCCTTCCTTATTCCTTTTACCCTACTTTCACTTCTCGATTTTTTCTCCTTTTTTTTTTTTTTTTTGTTTTTACCCCGAAGAAAGCAAAATTTGTAACACCGGAGTATAAACGCCGCCGTCGAGACTTGTATATTTGTAGGTTGTTTTCCTAGATTATGCATGCACGATCGCAGAAGATAACATGCAGTGGAGAAATTAAGATCGCATGATTCTGTATGGAACTTGTGCATATACTGCTTAAGCAAAACTGTTATTACATCTTCGCTTGCTTATATAAATTAGATCATGCACCTAAAGGCGTGAATTTTGGATTTATATGTGTGTTTTTTTTTGGTATCTTGTGGCTGAGGAGGGTAAAATTTCATCGAATCATGAGTTTGACTTGAAATCTGAAAAGAAATAAAATTGCAGATATGCAATGGATGTGAATGTGGAAAGAGCAGAAGACGTGCTGACGCATAAGAGGTTACTGCTTCTAGCTGAGGACCCGGATAACAGACCGGCTTTTGATGTTCGCCTTGTCCAGGTCTGATATCCAACAAGCCTTCAGCTTTTTGTCACGAGAGATTATGAGTTAGTCACAGATTTGGTAGAGGAGGGAAGGAGATGTAATGCGACAAAGTTACCTAAAGCGGGGGGAGGTGGAAGTCAAGGATTTGAGGAATTATGCAAGATTTCCATTTCAATTTCATCTAATGTGAATTTACCCTTCTTACGTGTATAATCATGATATGCAGGTTCATCCTAGTGGAGCTGAGAATGATCTAGATTCTGCTCATTCGGATTCTTTGATGCGGGAAGATGCTCAAAGTCATACATTTGAATCCAATAGGCGGGGGTACTGAGCTCTTAGATTTTCTTTGATGTTGGGTCTAAGGATTTCATTATTAACTCTACCTTTACTTTTGGTTTTTTTTTTTCGCCTGAATCGTCTTGACTGATGTTGACTTTGTTTTCTTCTTTCCTTGTCCTCCAAATTGCAGAATCCATCCTCCACCTACATTTGGTTCATCATCTAATCTTGAGGCGCTTGGTGTTCAAAGTAGTGGAGCACATGTGGATGATGTGGAACGTGATATAAATTCAATTTTTGAGACTTCACGGTAAATATAATTGACAGGTCACAAAGTGCCAATTGTTGCAGAAACAGCGTATACATTTGGTGGAACTGTTAAGAATAATTGATTTTGCTATTGGCTTTTTTAGTTTCTAGCTGTCTATTTGCGAAAGTAATATAGTATTGCTACTCGTATTCCAGTTTCATTCTTCTATCAGCTGGTATGTTTTTTGTCATTCATTTGAGAGCTGAAAGCATAGCTATGCCCTATATTCTTAGAAGCTTTTCTAGTTTCTTTTAAATTATCTGCATTTCATTTGTTAGTGCTCCAAGGATTTTTGACAGTTTGGATTGGAACATGATTGTTTCTCCACTCAAAAGTTTGACTGAACTACTTCCATCAACAACTTTGTTTTCTGATAGAAGATGTTTTGCATGTTTTTAGAACAAAAATGTTTGCATGGCTGTCTGGTATACTGACAGAGGGTTAAATGGCTGAAGATGACCTGTGGTTGGTTTGGCAAAGCCCATGAACTCCTACTTTCAATCTTCTTGTCAGCTTGGGTTTTGTTAAAAATTGGGAAACAAAGATGTACCAAAATATGTGAAGTGCTTTTCTGTCTTAGTTGTTTAGAGATTTTGCTGCATGACATGATAAGCTTGTAAAAGATTCTGTTTTGCCTAGCTTAATTTCTTGTGACATTCAAGCACATCTCTTTTTTCTTTTCTTTTCTTTTTTTTTTTAAACCAGACAAGAATGTTCAATCCTGTCATTGGTCATCCTGCAGGCCCATGCATGAGATCACTTTTTCAACGGTTGACAAGCCAAAATTGCTTAGTCAGGTGCTTGCACTTCATTCTCTTTTTTGTGCTCCATTATTCTGCTGTGTGTGTTTGATATTGAGGATTAAAATTGAATATCATGATCATTATGGGCTATAAAAGAAGTGAAAATAGGATCCCCTTGCTTAACGTTGGCTTTTGTAATTTTTGGAGTAAGGGCAGATGGGAATTGTCTTGCTGCCAAAAATTTACAGATTATACTTATACATGCTGGATTTTCAAACATTACATTTTTTTATTATGCCATATCATAATTGTTACAACTGAAATATGCTCTGAAAGCTGCAACTGCAAAATCTCTTGGGAGTGGATGGGGAATTAGCGTGCACATGGTGTCTTTTAAGCTTTCCTCATCAAAACCACCACCTTCCGATAGTTTCAAGTACACATTTAACACTTCTAGTGGAATATCCATAGCATTTTGCTCCTAAACTAGTTACTAAAGCTTCAATCTGGCTCATGATTTTTGTGACAAGTTTCAAAAGCAGAGTGTTTTGATAGCTTTAAGCACTGACCAAAAAGGAAGATCTTGGTTCAAATGTTGTGAACGATAAATTGAATAAGATCAATAAATATGATCTATCTGGATCAGGCAATTTGTACAGAATTTAAGGCCATTTTTGTCATTCAAGGCTGGGTATACTGATGAGACCTGCAGCTCCGTGGTGCCTCAGCTCCGTATTATAGTCTTAATGCACATTCCATGACTTCTGTTTCTTTCTCTTTCTTTGTTGTGAAATGTTACTTATCTTGACTGTGGGATTGCAGTTGACGTCATTACTTTCTGACATTGGGCTGAACATTGAAGAAGCCCATGCATTCTCCACTACTGATGGCTTTTCTTTGGATGTCTTTGTTGTTGCTGGGTGGCCTTATGAGGTACTATTCTTTTCCATAAGAACTTATGAACAGTTATCCCTGGTGGACAAGTATGCGCTGCGTTCTACAATCTGAACATTCTTGTGAAAATTTGTAAGCGTCATGCCTCTTTAAACTAATTGTATACTCTGTATTAGTACACTGTGTGCTGGTCAATAATAAACATTATTGTTGGATCTCATTTTAGGAGTAATTGTCATTGCAGTTGGTTCTGCCATCTTAGTTGACAAAGTAAAGCACCATAAATTTTCAAATTCAATAGTCTTTTCTTATCTTTAGGTTTTCTCTCTCATGCTTCAGGATCAAGGTAGTTATTCTGGAGCATTCCTCTCAGGTATATAAGCACCAAAACCTCTATTGTTTTGCTTTGAGAAAAAGGTTCTAAACAGGTTAACTTGTATCGTTTATTAAGCAGATTTTGTATCATTTCTGCAGATCTCAAATCTTGTTAGATATCGACATTTGGTGCCTGTTATTCTTTTAAGCGTTTGTGTTAAGATGGAATCTTTTGGCCTAACAAATATTTTCTGAAACATGATGGTATGCATTGGGCTATGTTGAAATCTGATGACTTTTTTGGTTTTATATTATCATCTCTGTGATGTAAATGACTACATACCATGAAGACTTGTTTTCAGAAGACTGCTTATTTTTATCTCACAATATTTTCTCCCTGATGTCCCCTCCCACTCTTCTTTTGTCATGAAATTAAACTTATGTCTATTCTTATTGCCAATTTATAGGAAACTGAGCTGCTAAAGAGTAAGCTGCAAAAGGAAATTAAGATGGCCAAGGTATATGTTCTTCATATTTCTGATAGTGAAATGATCAGAGACCTCCTATGTGAAAGTAATCATTTTCAGTTCTTACGACGCAAGGACGTTGAACTTCTGTATCTGAGGCTTAGTAGCAGACAATAGAAGTTCTTGGTTGTTCTTCTGCATGCATGATATGTGCCTCAGGAATGCAGATTTGTGGCCGCAACCCTTGTTCTATCCTGTTAAATGGCATTACTTTGCTGAAGCTGCTTGAGACACCTTTTTTTAGTAGCTCCCTTTGGATATATATTTAAATTGTAAACTTTATTTGGTGAATTAAGTGTGCCATTCATCTGCTCTGAGGTGTTTTCTAATTGTCTCCTATTACGCAGCTGCAACTGTTGGTTTACTCTTGGTGCTTGCTGTGTAATGTTGTCTCTTCTTAATTTGATGGCTGTTCCCTTGTTACGGTGAATAATCTGAAAGTTTATCTTAAACTTCAATTTCTTATGTTTTCTTTTAAATAGATTGGGCAGTGCTGAGTGTTAGGTTCCAGCAGTTGATTGAGAAGTGAGCCTTAACAGTAATTCTAATCTGAGTTGGCAAACAATATTATCTTCCCAAAATTGATTCTTATAGGTTTATTTATGACATCGCGATTTCATTGTTTGCCACTAACAAGTCACCCAGTTTGAACAAGCAGTTCAATAGTGCTCAATGAATTAGTATTCTCTTATAACTCTATACTTGTTAAAAGTGTGCTTTTAGATGTCTGATCCACTATAAGATGTTAAGAAACTTTTATCTTTTAGTTTGCAAGTTGATGATATGTGATTTCTGCTTCTGGATTGAATGCAATGCTTGCTTGAGAGTCATTTTGACACATGCATAGCTGAAGAGTTGCTTAGAAACCATAAAGTCTGAAGCCCACACAGAAAATAAGATCAAAGCCTTAGCTTCTACTAAATATTTGGGCATATTTCTCAAAACATTTCCCTGTTCCGCTTTTGTTTTTCTATTTTTTTTGCAAGATGCATGACAACCTCATGTGTTTGTGATTCTGTAGGAGCAGCCTTCCTCAGAAAAAAATGTACCACCTATGACTGAGAATTATGAAAGAGGAAACCCATCCGTGTCGGAATATGTGAAAATACCTACTGACGAGATTGATGTCTGGGAAATTGATCCCCGCCAGTTGAGATTTGGGAATAGGATTGCTTCTGGAGCATTTGGTGATCTGTAAGTTATATACATAAAATTATTCTTTCTTTGTGGTGGATGCATAGCTGTTAGGCTCATTATTTTTTTTTCAGGTATAAAGGTACATATTGTAGTCAAGAAGTTGCCATAAAAGTTCTCAAACCTGAGAGAGTAAATATAGACATGTTGAAAGAGTTCTCCCAGGAGGTTTTCATCATGAGGTTTGTTAAAATTTGCAATCATGTATATGCATTTGCCAATTCTGTTTTCATTTAGATACTTGTTTGAATTTTTCATTTTCTCTGTAGTGAAAAAATAGCTTTCTGAGGAGTAATTTTGTAGATTTTGTTTGTCATCTAAATGCATGGCCGGTTGTCATTTAACTTCAAATGAAATTCAATTTTAACTGTTGTGTTTCTGTTGTTGAGTTGCTAGAGATTTTTTCTTTGGTGGTCTTCGTAACAATGAAAGAATTGGCTTGTATTTACCAAAGGAAGTTTTCTTTTGTTTATGTCTACAACTTTAAGAATTTTCAAGAAGCTGAAAGACGCTGCAATGTGCAGAGCAGCTAGAGTATAGACAGCATTCCTCTTCAACAAGGTTTTGGAGTTGGAAAATTTTTTTGTCAAATGCTTATCATAGAGGGATATACTACATGGGATATAATACCAGTGCATCAACTAGTTTTCAATCAGTTGCTTTAGTGTATTGTAGTCAAGTTTAACTCATCATTACCTGCTGAAAACAGCTTATCTGTTGATTTGCAATAATCTTCTTCTAGGCATATACCACTGAAAGGTTCATTCTCTTCTCACTAAAGCATGGACAAAATATTGTTTTGGGTTTCTGAAACTATGTAGACATTTATTTAGTTTTCTGGAATTGAATAGTATTTCCTCTTAGTTGATTCCTTTTGTACATAAGCTAGCTTTGTTTGCCTTTTGCAGGAAAATTAGGCATAAGAATGTAGTTCAGTTTCTGGGTGCATGCACAAAACCTCCAAACCTCTGCATTGTCACGGGTAATTTGCACATTCCATAGTGATGATTCATATCCCAAAAGTCATACATTCTGAACCTGATCCTTTGATTCCTATATGTAAGAACTTTTAGTTTTGAGAAGCCAATTTTTATATGCATAATTAGAAATTGGTTATTGGATTTTGCCATGGAAATACTTTGTATGCTGAAAGCCATACCTTCTAAAGTTGATGATGTGATCCCTATGTGGAATAAATTTTACTGTGGAGATCTATTCTATAGATGATAATTTTTACAGATAGTGATTCTCTGTTTCTTTATGCACAATTTAGTAGTTGAAACATTTGCGCACGTTTTTGCAAAATTTGGAAGTATGCCAGATATTGAAATGTTTGTGCAGTAATTAACAGATTATTATGAACTCTTTGTTCCGTTCTTTGTAATGTCTGATTGTGCTTGCTTTCTGATGGTTTTGTTATGGTTTTACAGAATTCATGTCCAAAGGAAGTGTGCACAGTTTCTTGCACAAGCAAAAAAGCACCTTTAAGCTTTCTACCATTATCAGAGTGGCAATGGATGTTTCTAAGGGAATGAACTATTTGCACCAGAATAATATAATTCATCGGGATTTGAAGACTGCTAATCTTCTAATGGATGAACATGAAGTAAGATGCTTCTTTCCAGAGCTGTATACCACTTAAGAAAACCTTTTCTAACTTGTTTGCTAAATTACGTTGGACAAATACATCTGAATAACATTACTATGACATGGGGAAGTCTAAGTTGAGATGACTTGTGCGCTTAAGTTGGCAATTTTCGGACTGAGCAGAAGATTTTGCATTTTCGCACATTAGCTGTTGATGAAGTTGGTTAAAAAAGGTTGTAATCAGCATCATTCTTTTTTTGGAATTCTTTTCTTTTTTTTTGCCCCCCCGGGGGGGGGGGGGGGAGGGCAGAGGGAGCGGCCGGTTGTTAGGAGTGGGAGTGTTAGGTTTTTTATTTTTTATTTGTTTTGAGGATGTACTCTTCTAAAATCAGTCTCTCTTCCGCAGGTAGTTAAGGTTGCCGATTTTGGCGTTTCTAGAGTGGTGTCCCAAACTGGGGTTATGACTGCAGAAACTGGTACATACAGGTGGATGGCTCCTGAGGTATACTTCTTGTGTATTATCTGCATCTGTGGCAAAGTTTTTAAATCTATATATAACTTTTAAACTACCTAGCTTGTACTACTTGATCATGTTGGTAGAGGAGAACTTTCAAGATGAGAAAGACAAATTTAATGGGTAAATGTAATCAAGGAAAGGTTATGTCATTTATACGAGTCTTAGTTGAAAAGGAAGAGCTACCGGAAGCAAAGCTACTATTGAATTTGAAGATTATTCATGAAATTATGTACCAGAATTGTGTGTTTAAGCCTTTTGTTGGCTGCAACCCTGGGGTAACTCTTTACCCTGAAATTTCTTTTGATGTACTGAAGGTAATTGAGCACAAACTTTATGATCACAAGGCTGATGTTTTCAGCTTCGGCATTGTACTATGGGAGCTTCTAACAAGAGAAGTGAGTTTTATAGCATTTTCCGGGATAATATTATATATCCTCGTATTCTTGTATCACTCAATACTCGAAGTAATTTTGTTTCGCTGAACTGGTTCAGATTCCGTATTCAGATTTGACACCTTTGCAAGCAGCTATAGGGGTTGTGCAGCAGGTATTTCATGTCTAATTCTGACTGAAGCATGCCAACCAAAGCTTTTTAAGGTTGTAAAATAGCATCCGACCTTTCTTGTCTCTCAGGGTCTACGGCCTGCAATTCCTAAGCACACACATCCAAAATTAGTAGAGCTGCTTGAGAAGTGCTGGCTGCAGGATCCTACTCACAGACCAAATTTCTCCCAAATTTTGGAAAATTTGCAGAGAATTGCCAAGGAGGTGGGCATTCTTGAGAGAATTTAGTCAATATATGATGTTGTTGGTTGAGTTGGACTGACATTAGCTATCTTGAAAACAGGTTGTAGATGAAGTAGAAGATCGGCAGAAGGACAAATCGATCGGTGGGTTTTTCTCCTCTCTCAGGAAGGGCCATCATTGACAATTCGACGTTATGATTCTGTTGCATAGAATTTCATCATTTGTTGAGTACAGAATTTTTTTTTCCCCCTCGTTATCGAAACACGTGTAATCCATCGGGTTAGTGAAAAGTTTCCTTTCAGCTATTAATGCAGCTTTGAACCACTTATCCAATCAAGGCTCGGTAACCTTTTACAGGTACTATTTTCAACTCGTTTCGTCAAGGGCTGTGCCTGTTTTTGTTTTATCATGTATGCTTCATTCCCTCTTTTCCGGATCAAAGTGCTTATGAACTCGTGAGTTGGAAGTAATGGTCGAATTTGGACGGCTTGTGGGCATTATTACATTGGAGAAACATTCCATGCTCCGGATTGTGAGGATAACAAGTAAAATTCGTTCCATACAACAACCAAATTCTTTTTCCCAGTTTTTTTCCCCCAACTAAAAGTAGGAGAATCAGAGTAGACAAAAAGAATTCAGGGAGGTGAATTGGATAGGCTTGTTAAAGTACGCATAGGATGTGTCGAGTTCTGAAAATTAGTGCATTATTCAATGCGAATGGTAAAGTCACTCGCGAAACCAAATAGAAAATGACCGTGAAGAGTGAAGCAGAATCATAAACAAAAGAACCCTTGAAACCGAAGACTGATGTTGAATCATAAACATAGGAACCCCTTATGATTGATGGGATTGTTGATGTTTTGTGGCTTCCGAAGTCGATCATCCGCATCTACCGATCATTGCAAAAGGAGCTGTCGAGCTCGAATAGTGACCTGCAACCTTGCAAGCGCATGCATGCAGTGCAAAGCAATTCGAGCCTGTCTTCTCACACACACCCCACGAACAGCCGCTTGCAGCTTCACAAGGCTTCTAAGTGCTCGAAATGCCCGTCTTGCCTGATGAAAATATAAAGAACAAAGTTTCCAAATTGAGCAAGAAGGCTTATCAGATTGAGAAATTTTAACGTAAACGAAGAAAAGTTGTTACGAATAAAATACAAGGTGCCCCCTGAAGCAGGCTTGGATCTGAATTGCTGCGAGTTCTTCTTTAGACAGAGAAATTCTGATATCCTCGCTGAGTCTCGTTGTTGTTGTTGTTGCTTCACTAAAGCAACTGCGGCTTGTATTGTTGTTGTGAAGAACGATTAGTGTTTCGCGGGGAGCTGATCGGAAGAGTTTTCTTCGGGCAACACGGAACCATTTCTTTCCGGGCATTCCCATTTTCTACCATTGATCAGGCGTCTACTTCTTTGCCAGAGCTTCTCTCTTGGCTTGTCCTTTCGATGATATAGCGAGCAAGTACGCAGACGTATGCGCAACACGTTCTGTTGAATAGGGACGACTCCTCATATTTTTGGGAAGTTTGAACGTGGAGGGATGAATATTTTTTTTCTGTGGCTTCGGTTGTTGGGATTTCAAGCTTTCTGATCCAAGAAGCCAAGAGCCGATACACAGGACCACCTAATCAGCAGGCCTGGTGATTAAATAATTCTATTTCGATCCCTTCTTGAGGACGCGCACCATTTTTTTCCCCTCCCCTCCCCTTTGATGTAAAGGCAAATCTTATATTGGAAGCTTGAAAACACCGATTCCCATTTCTATAACTGACGCTTCCTTTCAACGGGTTCTCTTAGAATTGAAAAAATGAACATAATAGGAAACAATTCGACCTTGATGTTCCAAAACATTGCTTTGTATTGCCTACTGCAAAACAGAGCTTTTAGACTGTCACTCGTGCAGTTGTGGTTCATAAGTGAAGGATTTTGCGCCTTACTCTGTGGAGGAAGTCAACTGACACCCTTCACCTAATAGACCCCAGCAACCTTTAGATTCAAGCTCAGCAACCAGAGTTAGTGAGCACTTGCCTTTTTGATGGATTGATCACTTCTATCCCTCACCATTAACGTCAGTGGTAAATGGTGGCTCATTGCTATTTTATACCTATAACTAAAAGACTAAGCAAATCCAGCACATACAAATACAATTGAACAATTACAAAGACTTCTTGTTAATCTCAGATCATCCAGATTACAAGACAAACTACATTCAAAGGATCAGCGCCATGCATCTATTATCCATAGTCAAATGCACATCAGAAGAAAAATGACCAGCAACTTATAATTCATACGACATAATCCCAGTAAATTGCTGTACAACTTCCATTCTAATTGTTTGACATTGGCTTTTCTCCCTGCTTGTAAAGTCAGTACACAGCCAGTTTTTATTTTTTTTTATTTTTTTAAAAAATTATTTTGCATAATCTAACGCTGTACATAGCCTGTGTTATTAAGCGTCACAACCCGTGTTCCCCTCCTCCATAGTCATCACGACTCTGTCGGAAGTTCATTCTGTACCCAGGCAGCATATCCGCCTGCAATGTCTGTAATGCCAGTAAACCCCTGCAGAATAAGCGCTTAATTAGTCCATGGAGAGAAATAGATATCACAGGGATGTTTGAGTTGGTTGCATGAAATGCGTATTCACAGCACGAATGCAAGTATCTGGAACTTCTTGCTGGACCTATTTTACAAGCCACATGAAGCTGAACTCGAAATTAATCAACAGGAACAGGGAATGTGATATCTTTAAGTTGGACTTACCACATACTCACATAGATACATATAAACCAGAAAACTAAGTTTAAAGCTCCAATCTTCACTGAAACTCAGTTTAAAGCATCAATCTTCACTGGGTACGTGTCGAATTATAAGACTGTAGACTAATAAACACAAAGAACTCACAGCAGATATAAGATCAGTTGCAGCCATCAATGACCTTTTCCCCAATTGGCAGCCCTATAAAAACAGAGCAAGTTGAAATGAATAGTAAGGAATTAGGAAGCAAATCTCAGTAAACAAAAGCACCTCAGCCCACCCTTCCCCCTGTCCAGCCCATCTCAGGGACAAAGGAAAAGGCAAGACCGGAATTAAAGGGATGCATTTTTGAAACTTACAACAATAATTTCGTCATCTTTCCCAAAAATTGCTAAAACTTCGTCCACAAAGTTCAGGTTTTTAGTCATACCTGTGTTTATATACCAAAAAGGCAACATCAGGAAGAAGCTAAATTGCATAAGATCCATAAGATAGTATATTCTGTTCTTTTAAAAGTCAATGCTTTCCCGACTTTTCTTGCTTATGTTTTACGTTTATTATACCAAGGGTTCTAATCAGACAATTTACACTACATATCCCAGAGGCACGAATAGATATGCATGATATAGTGAGCCTACACAAATTCCATTCCCATTATGCATCCTGATTACACTGGTCTTTCTCCACAGTAAGGTCAAATGGAGACATAATTCATGTATCCACTGTACTTATCCCTCGGAACTCAAAGTGGAATTAGGCATATGCATATTAATTTAGGGGTAATACCTAAACGACAATACGATATCCCCTGCAACTGCATTAAGCTAAAGCAGATAAAATGCAAATTTCACTTTTAATCATCATACACTTGAGAACAAGAGTTTGCTTAAATTAAAAAACACTGGCAAGATAAATTAATTCAGAACTAAATTTTAGTGGTGCAAAACCTGATCCAACTCTAAACATGTAAGGCACATTGACAGCCCCAGCAGCATGACCAGCACTGAATTCTTCAGCAGTCCTGCACAGCACCACTACATAAACATCTCGTGGCTATGACAGTCTGAATTGACTCAATTTTCATAATCCCTTTTCTAAAATTGATTGATATTAAGCAGAATACTGAAACAGCCACCTGACATCTAAATAACGATGGCCTGCCTGAAGCAGCTCCTGAGCTACACGAACCGGGACTGATGTTGGTGGTGGTGCTGCTGCTGATGCGTTTGATTGAACATTCTCTCCAACAGTAGCCATCCAACTGTCACAGCATCCATACACACAAAAGTCATCAGTGCCACAGATGATGAAAGATTCAGCAAAAAGATACAAACAAGAAAACAAAATGAATTAGAAGCCAACCTGAAGCTGGGATTTCTGTGGCCAGTGCTGAACTTGCGTTGTTTCGGGAGTTGAAACTTAGCCTTGGCCATTGATAGCGCTGAGACTGAGGCATAGCTACAAAACAGGATTTTTACTTTTATTTTTTTTAGATTACGCATGATACTACAATGAATAGTAAATAAAGGGGAGGAAACAGATGATGGCCAGATGATAGGTTTGTCACCTTTTCCTGAAATGGTGCGGAAGATTACGCAGAAATGTTGACAAGGTAGCGGAGGAGGAAACCGAGAGAGCCCCCATCATGGGTTTGAAGTTTACGAGGAAGTTCAAATGCTGAACAAACTATCTGTCTTGTGACTCTGGGGGTTTTTCTTTGCTCTTTTCACCAGCGTTTTGTTTTACTCTGTTTAGTCTAGCTTGGAGAAGAGACCCTGTAGAAAGAAGATGAGCATGCGCATATACTGAAAGGCATGGATATTTATTTACGACAAAAAAATTTTTATTTTTGGCGTGGGAAACAGACTAGGGGTACCGAAACATCATAGGATGATGGATTTTTGTTTTGGTTGCCACGATAGTTGTGGTGGAATCAGGTAAGGGGATATTTATCAATTGTCATCATTTACTAAGAATATGAATAACAAGGAGAAGTTGGAATTGGATAAAATCTAGTAACATGATGGAGTGGAGATCCTAACTCGGGACGTGGCAGTGGTGTGGAGATAAGTCCCAAAAATTGTCACCTGGAGCTGGAGGTTTTATCTCCGATCACGCTTCTCAATGCCCACACAATTAAGGACGTGTATTTTTCCTTCTTTCTTTTCTTTTTTTTTTTTTGGTAGTAAATAAGGACAGTTGTGGAGTTCTGGACCTTCTGGTTTTGGGCCCCTGACGTTTTCGACTCATGTTTTTTCATTCACTTCTAAAGCACAGGCTAGGGTTGGATTTGACTAACAGGAATGAAAGAGAGTGCTAAGGTTTTACTTCTACCCCTCTCTCTCTCTCTCTCTCTCTCTCTCTCTCTCTCTCTCTCTCTATATATATATATATATAAATACTAGATCTATCCATCATTCCATTCATTTTCAGGGACCAGTAAATAAAAAAAAATATTAATTTGAGATTTTAATATTAATTTGCGGGTGGCAGGGCCGACGCGTGAAGGCCCGGCTGGAAAGGGCCTTCACCACCTGAAAAGAAATTTTGTATCCACGGCCCAATTCTAGTAAGTCACAGAACTTGAGCTGCCTCGTACCTGCCACTACCGGCGGTTGTGCCGTTAGTTGGCTGTATACTGTATACTTCCCGGAGGAGGAGTAGTAAAGCTGAAGATGGCGAAGGCGGCGAGCTGCGTAAGCAGCCTATCAGCTTCTCCTGTGTTCTTTCAAGCTCCTCTTCTCTCCCCTTCCCCGCCTCATTCCATTTCTACACATGTCCTCCACCACCAATCTAAGGTGCCCGCCCTATCCCGGTCTCTCTCTCTCTCACTCAAGTATCTGACTTGTAATCATCGAATGAAGAGTGGTTGCGCTCGGAGATTATCGTTGCTTCGGGTTAATTGCTTGCCGGAGCAGACCACCAGAGAAACTGAAGAAAACTCTGAGGCTAAAACGCCGACGTCAGCGTCAGCCTCAACGTCAACGTCGTCTTCTTATTCTTCTGATAACGAAAGCGGAGTTACGGCATTGAATTGGGTCGCAGGACTCGGAGGATTAGGATTTCTGGAGACTTCCTACTTGACCTATCTCAAGCTCACTGACTCCGATGCCTTTTGCCCTGTTGGAGGTGGTGGTGGCGGTGGCGGTTGCGGCAGCGTCCTTAATAGCGATTACTCTGTCGTTTTTGGTACAGAATGATGCTACTACAGTTCTAGTTGATTTTGTTTCTTACTATTTTGTGTACTAAGTTTATAACTGAGGCACAAAATGATTCTCTTGGGCCATAACGGAGTTTAAAATGTTGATGGTGCATTACACATTCTGTTCCATAATAATAAATTTACGATCTTTCCTTTTGAAATTGAGCTACCTAAACATGCATACTCTGTTGAAGTGGTTTGATAAGCTGAATTGCTGATTGGATCAGTCGCAAAGCCATTGAAAGACTCCAGTATTTATTTGTTGACGTTGGGTTAAGTAAATTACTAAGCTATACTGAGTTTTTTTTTTTAACGATCCTTGATTTTTAAAATTAGGAACGCCTCGAGAGAAAAATATGATGTGTACTAGCTTAATTTTTATGCGTGCATGTATTTGTAAAAGCTATGCAGCTTACAGACATTAAAACCTTTCAGGTGTTCCTCTTCCATTGATTGGTATGCTTGCATATGGAGCGGTTGCAACGCTTGGCCTACAATTGGGTTCAAAGAAATTGCCTTTTGGAATTGGTGAAACAGATGCCCGTTCAGTATTGCTTGTGACAACTACTTCCATGGCGCTTGCTAGTGCCTACTTTTTGTATATTCTGACCACAAAATTTTCGGGGGAATCGTGTTTGTATTGCTTAACTTCAGCTTTCTTATCCTCCTGCTTGTTCTTCATCACTCTAAAGGTTCTTTCCAACATGACTCTCCCATTTTCTTAACTTGAATGCCTTCTCTATGCCATTAATTTTAGTGAATTTGAATGCTGCAGGATTTTGGTTTAAAGGAGTTACAAAAAGAAGTTGTTTTGCAGCTATGCGTAGCTGTCCTGGTTGTTATTACCTTAAATTCCTCCTATAATGCTTTGCAACCCGTCTCAACAAGGTAATTAAGTCAGACGTCAATGTCGCATTGACTAGGGGGAAAGTATGTTGCATCTCTGCTCCCTTTTTTTCCTGGGAACTGCTTAAGCTCAATCATGTACCAATTTGGTCATTCCATGTCTGACTATATAATCATGTTGGAGTTAACCAATTTTAATGAGTAAATGAATTGAAAAAGTGGGACAAGTTAAGGCTTGAACTGTGAGAAAGGAAAAGGAAAAACTTAGGTGATTGCAAATAAAATATACAGTACCCACACCAAAGGGAATTAATACAATTGTTTTTTGCTTTCTGACATTCTTAATAACTGCACTTGTTGACGGGGCTTCATATTTTTCATAATATTAAGTGGCTCGCTGTTATCCTTTAATCTGAGTTTCCACATTCAACATCTCTAAGTTCCTTTTCAACTGAAGGTTATCAGACAAAGAAATCTTTTATTTTCTTTAGCTTGCCTGAGGCACGTTTCTGATATTTTGACTAATTACTTTTAGTTATTACCTCTTATTACAGTCTAGCGGAGGTTGACCTGCCATTTGTAAAAACTGAGGTCACAACCAAATCAAGTCCTTTGGCTGTTTCCCTTGCAAGGCATTTACATGCAATAGGAGCGAAAATGTATGGAGCTTTCTGGTGTTCACATTGTTTAGAACAGAAAGAGGTATTCACGTTTACATACTCTGCTTTAATTTGTTCCAAATATAAGTTGAGAATCATGATTTGTAAATATCTTACGTGTAAAAGCTCTCCATCCTATTTCGACTAGGAATACACATTTGAAAATTCTATCATAGAAAACATGGTGCCTCTGCTGTGAACTTTTTGACAGTATCTATTTTCTTGTTCTCTTGCAAGATGTTTGGACGTGAGGCATCAGATATATTGGATTATGTAGAATGCTTCCCTAATGGCTACAGAAAAGGAACTATAATGGCCAAGGCATGTACAGATGTTAAGATTGAAGGGTTTCCAACATGGGTGATTAATGGAGAGGTGAGCAAGCCTTAACTTTTAGTTGCAGTTTCTTCTTCTTTTCCTCCCCACCATTGTCTTTGGAAATGAATTTTTGGTTTGTTTTGAAAAGATAAAACCCTTCTCAGTATTATGTGGCATTTGGTCGGTTTGCTTTCTTCAGCCTGGTTTAAGGTGATGCTGAATTTGGCTCTATGTACAACTCTTATTTACTAAAACTACTGCATAAGAGTGATGGTTGTGCTTCTCCTCAAAAGGGTCTGTCTACACATTGTGCATTTGAAACCTTGCACAATCACATTCATGGTGAAAGACATTTAAAAAAAAAATGAAGTTGGAACAACATAATTTGGGTCAATGCATATTCATGAGGTTGAGATGGCGGCAACTTATAACATTTCGGTTTGATCTGTTTCTTTGTCCACAAGGATTATTCTAATTGAATGAATTTTTAGTTGGTATGGGGACTCGTTTCTTACCAGCCTTCCCCTTTGAGCTTTGACCAGAGGACAGAAAAGATTAAGAGACTATCTCCTTGGGTTACATACTTGTACTGCAAACTTATGATGATGCTTTTTCACTTTTTGCAGGTTTTGAGTGGAGAATTAGATTTCTCAGAGCTTGCTAAAGCCTCCGGAATTAAACTTGAAGATCTCAGTCAAGCTAACTAGGGGGATTTTTGTGTTGTTCTTGAACAGCTTCTACGTGATGGCTTAGTGATTACACAAGTACAGGATCCATTCATCTTTCTTTGCATATGTCGCAGTGTCTCATAGTTGTATAGCCCGACAAAAGAAAGCTGCTCAAGGGTGCTTCAAATCATTTGGATGGCAGTACGAGAAATTTAAGAGGTGCCTCACCCCCCCCCCCTCCTCCTCCTCCTCCTCCTCCTCCTCCTCCTCCCGCTTAAGTTTGTATGTAAGAGTCTTGAGAGAATGCTTAGGTAGATTTTGGAAAGGGATTTTCTATCAGTAAACATATTTCTTAATCACCTTTTTATCTCACATATATCAAATCGCTACAGTACATCTTCTACAAAAACTTCAGAAAATTGCGATCCAAACTGTGAATCTTGTTATAAAATCAATAGGCACGTTAGTAGTGTTGTATTATCAAATCTCGCCCACCAGTTCTTCTTTATGCTTAACTACTACTTTTGTGCATGTGCACCCAACCTGTCGACTTTAGCTTCCTTGGGCGTTTTTTAAGATAAAGAATTAGTATTTTACGCTTTATTGCAAAAGGTTACATAGCGGTCAAAGGCAAAACAAAACATGACAACCCGAAACAAATTGAAATTCTCATACCAGCTATCTAAAGTTAGTCTACCCAGATTAACATCAGGGATTGAGAAAAGAGGAGATAAATAAGCTAAAAGAGGGAGGTCTTGGCATAGGATGCAAACTGTGGCATAACGAGATTACCGTCGCATTGGCAGCTTAAGGCGTAATACATGATGCTAACATATCAACCACGCTTTCTTGAGCTCTCTCTCTCTCTCGGGGTATTTCGAGGCGTGGGATTTGAATGAAGCTAGAGCTAGAACTTTTCCCTCGACGCTAAAAACGCGACATTTTCCGCTCCATACAGACAACGCCTTCTACCCGTTCTTCCCAGGGCCGCTGTGTTCCTGAAAATTGAAAACCCATTAGCCATTCCATGCTCAGAACTCTAACCCGGAACATTTCCCAGCTGTTGCCGGAAACACATAACTATTTGACCAAAACGACGTGTTACGAGCAAGTCAAGGCGAAACTAGCAACGACGTCGTTTTTTCAACTTTAGCTTATTTCTGAGGTTTCAATTCAGGCGAAGAATGGCAGATCTCATTCCATATGTCCGGGATCCCCTTTCCATACCAAGTCAAGAAATATAAAGGTACGATTTATTATTATTTTTGTTTTCCAATAGCTGGTTATTACTTATTTGGTACTCGCATTTGCTTCCTACTTTAATGTCATTGTCGTCTAATCAATGCTTCTCAAAAAAAAAAAAAAAAAAATCAAACTTGGGCTTGTAGCTTCTTTCTGCTTTGAAGATCATGTTTTGTTCTACTTGCAATGATTGAGATGCCTTTAGTTTTCAATCGGTACTGAGTTTTAGTTACGTGATTACTTGCGTATGGCCCATTTGACAAAATGCCGATATGGCATTGTTTTTCTTATGCTCCACTCGAGCTGGTAGTGTTTTGGTTTCGCATTTATAGAGCGTGCTGTTTTTGCAATATGCTATCCCTTTATTATAAAGCGTTGATCTTTAAGCTTGCAAATTATGTTTGCACATCTCCTCTTTTACTCTAAAAATAAATAAATGCTGTCGTGTCTCTGCAACTCATGCTGATTTTGTACTGCCTAGCAGATGCAGTCGAACAAAATTTACTCAAACAGTTGAGCACTAGTTCCAGTATGTGGAATGCTTGAAAATGAAGAGTATATAATTAGTCAAGGAGCAGTTACTGTATGTGACACAGAAAAAGATAGTTTCTTCAAGTGGTATTTCTATAAGAATGGTGGCAATTAATTTTCGCTCGTTGCTCCTGTTCTCGGCATTTCTTCGTATCTTTTTAATTATGTATGGAGAATGGCAAGACAACCATATGGATGTTAGATACACTGATGTTGACTACCTTGTCTTCTCTGATGCTGCTTCTTTAATGGCATCGGGAAGGTCTCCGTATGAAAGATCGACATATCGCTATTCACCTCTCATAGCATTTTTCCTTATCCCGAATTCCTTTATACATCCTTCATGGGGAAAGTTTCTCTTCTCAGCTTCAGGTACAATATGTCAATTAATTTGATGAACCTCACATATAACATTGGTTAAATAACAATAACAAGTGGAATATGATTGATGGTGATCCACTCTTTTTCAGCTTAATTTCAAATCAGTACATAAGTTGATCTATGTAACTAGATTTACTTGTTTGTGTTGTGCTACTATCTGGAATCTTGAGCTATAGTCAGTTGCTGTTTATTGTATACATTACATGTCTTATTTCATTTTGTTGCTGATTCATCGAAAATGGTGATTTTTTATGGTAAAAGATTGTTGCCCAAGCTTTGGCCATAAACTCTTTAAGCATGTTTTGACAAGGTAAGAGTTGAGAGTAATGGAACACTGATATATTGCATGTTTAGATTAGAAATGGAATGCTTTTTGAATGCAATTGGTTCTTTTGCACAAATCGCATAACTTTCTTCTTTCAGATTTTTGAAATATCATTAGCAGGCCAAAACACCTAAGCTGATAGTTTTCTTGAGTTCGGAAATAGACATTATGTGTCATTTATTCTTGTTGCATGCTATGTTTAATCAATTGCCATATACCTGAAACTTATGTCATCTTCACATGGCAGATCTACTTGTCGGTTTGTTTATACATGCCATTTTGAAGCTACGTGGGGTTCCTGAAAAACTGTGCACCTATGCAAGCATGGTATGGCTTTTTAACCCATTCACCTTTACCATTGGAACTCGTGGGAACTGTGAGCCCATTGTTTGTGCCATGATCCTGTGGATCATTCACTGTCTCATGAATGGTAAACCATCTAACTTATACGTATGCAATTGTGTTGTTTTCCGACACTTGTGCTTTTACTTTTTTCTTTTTATTTGTAAGCAACTTATGATTTACCTACTAATAAATAAACGTTAAAGACAGAATTGGAATTTCTTCCTATTTGGATAATGCTTACAGTATTCGAAACTTAGAATTTTAAAATTTTGGCATCTCTAACACACAAGCTATTTATTCCTCTTGGCATGCAGGTAACGTATGTCAAGCTGCAGTCTGGTATGGACTTGTTGTCCACCTGAGAATCTATCCCATAATTTATGCACTTCCAATAATCTTGATGCTTGATCCTCTTTGCTTCAAATTTGGGAAGAAGCCTAACCTTATATCTTGGGTTCCTGGGGGAAAACAGTTCTCCCAGAGCTCATTCAGCACCAAAGTTACTGATCAAAACTCTATTTGGTTAATTGTGACGAGTTTGTTTACATGGAGGAGAATTGTCTTTGGTCTGCTTTCTGGATTTATGTTCTTCATCTGTACTGGATTTGCTTTTTATTTGTATGGCTGGCAGTTCTTGCATGAAGCACTGCTATATCATCTCACACGCACAGACCCAAGACACAACTTCTCTATATACTTTTACCATCTATATCTCCATTATGAACGTGAATTTACTACCACGGAAAAGCTCATTTCATTTCTTCCCCAAATTATAGTGCAGTTGGTACTCATTTTCCAATTTTCACAGGATTTTCCATTCTGTTTCTTTGTCCAGACACTTGCTTTTGTGGCATTCAATAAGGTTGGTGAATTATGCTTATCAACATATTTCACATGCTTCAAGATAGTGTTGGTTAAGCTGTAAAATGTCTGTAGCAGAATAATTCCTCTTTTCAATAATCATTTTGTTTGGTTACTGTTATGCAGGTCATGACAGCACAATACTTTGTCTGGTTCTTCTGTCTGTTGCCTCTCATATTGCCATGGAGTAATATGAAGCTTAAATGGAAAGGCTTAGCCAGCACTCTGTTGTGGATGGGAGCTCAAACCCATTGGCTGATGTGGGGTTACTTGCTTGAGTTCAAAGGCAAGAACGTCTTCATGCAGCTCTGGTTGGCGAGTGTGTTGTTCTTGGCTGCTAATACTTTTGTTCTAATCAGCATCATTCGCCACCATAGATACTCTTCCGTATTCAGACGAGTGGAGCTTGCAGCTTCTGAAAAACCTGGAAAGAGCGATTGAGTAAAAATCAGATTTAGAGAACCCTGCTAGGTTTTCTTTATGGTATCAAATTCTGAAGGGCAAGATCTGAACCTGATACTTGGCAGTACGAGCATTAGATCTCGACGTGTTAATTTGCAATGGGGATAAATACTCTTATACTTCTTGCTTAGTTTTCTCTAGCAAACTGACAAATAGCTGAAATAGGCTCCCGTTTCCTTTTTGTTGCTAACAGATGTAAAACAAGATTTTTTGAGTTTGAGAAGTGGCAGTGTTATGATGATCTTGTGCTTCAGCTGTCGTGCTTTCATTGTTGTCTCTCTGAACTTGGTGTGGTGATTAGGTTGAGTTTAGTCAATTAACTGCATATGCGTGATAGCATCGTATCAGCAGCTAAGCACTATACTTCGACTTCAATCGAGTGCGCTATAATACTGGTTGTTAGCCAATGACAGTATCTACACTTGAGCAGATGATCGTACGCAACCTCAGAATTAGAACTTTTTCTCAATATTGTTTAGCATTCCTATTGAAGACTAAACATCAACGGATGAGATTGTCTGAAGAAAAATTTAAACTAGTATTGTAGGGCTTTACCCCGGAGGGAGCCCTTCCAGAAATTCTCGATGGCCTAGGCCAAACCCAGGCCAAAGAGGGGGTTTGGAAATAGTTTTCAACCAGCAATAGACGCGCCTCGGTTAGAACCTCACTAGCTGCGTCATTGCCCCAAGCGCAAAGATGCAAATGACGGAGTCCCCAGGCCGCCTTTTATACCACGCTGCTCTCTTGCGTCTCCTATACCAAGTCGATGTGGGATGTAGACAATTCCTCTAGTGGTTGAGCTCCCAGCTATAAGCCTACAACTGCAAGGCAGTTCACAATTCAACTCCTAGGATGATTAGACTTCCAATTAGCAAGAACTAAGTACTTTCCCTTTTTGGCACTCTATGTCAAGTAGATATGCGGAACGAAATTTACAGCTCCTAATTTGTTTGCAAAAAAGAAAAAGAATAATTATTGCTCTAGATTTTAGAATCATCCACATCCATAAAACCAAAAACATACCACATATATATATATATTATCATTTGAAAAGTAAAAGTATCATAATTTGTATGATAAAATAATGATTTGATTATTTTTAATTTACCTGAATTTTTTCATACAATGAAAACAAATGTGACAATTATAAATTTAACATCGCTATTAAACATATAATCGTGAATTCAGAAGATCAAATAGGTTTTTAACCTTGATTTCACATTAAATATTTAGTTAAATTCTAAAAGAATGATTTACATAATTGTTGTTGATATTATATACTATGTAGATAAATAATGTCAAAAATAAAAAAAATTATTATAATCAGCCAATTACGGAGACCCCCGTAATGGTATATTTTTGGGATGGATAAGGAAGCGAGGGAGTGGAACTGTGGAAGGAGAGATTTTAGACGGGGCGACGGGGACGGTTTCCCAGCTCCAACTAAAACCTGCCCCGTTGACAATAACACCCGAAGGGAAATACTACAGGGACGAGTGAGAGTAGCCCACGGGTGAGGGAGCCGTTCCCATAATTCACTCACAAGTCACCCCACTGCACACCCAAAGAAACCGAAGATTCTTGAGAATATTCCCTCCCTCCCCCACCAGGATCCAAATCCTGACGTCCTGATCCTCCTCCGGCCGACCCCACTCCGACCCTCTTTCGCTTTCGCTTTGGGCCCTCTCGCCATCATCATCATCGTCCCGCCTCATCCTTGATCCTTTGATCCTATCCCGCCTGTCTCACTCCTACTACTCGCTAGTAGTACTATTTAAGTGCTCCATCGCCCCCTCTCCCCTTTCCCATCCAATTCCCACCACTCTGCAAAAACAAAAGGAGAAAAATAAAAAGATGCCTCTAGACATCGATCAAGCTGTGGAACACATCCAACACCTCAACCTCTTCGAGATCCGCGGACGGGATAATGACCAGCGCAAAATCCTCCGCATCGTCGGCAAATACTTCCCTGGTAAATCATTCGTATATGAAACGCTTGTGCAATTTGAATTGTCAATCCTACATGCTCTGTTCTTTTTCTGTTTATTGATGTTTTTCTTTTTTCTTTTTGTGGTTTTGGTTTCCGCTTCTGAATTTGCAGCTAAGGTTGTGAGTGTTGAAAGCGTGAAAAAGTACTTGGAGAAGTATATCTTTCCTGAGCTGGAAGAGGAGCCCTTCTCCATCGTGTATTTCAACGCCCGAGTGGAGAAAAAAGAGAACTTCCCCGGAATCTCTGCTCTCAAATCAATCAACGACGCTATTCCGGTCAACGTTCGGAATAATCTTCAGGCCGTTTATTTCGTCCATCCTGGCCTTCACTCCAGGCTCTTCCTCGCCACCTTCGGCCGCTTCATCTTCACCGGAGGGTAAAAGCTCGTCTCTAAAAAACAAAAACAAAAACAAAAAATTTCTGCAGTTTTTTCCGTAAACTGCTAACTCTAGCGGTCCAAAATTCTGTGGACTCTCTCTCTCAAATCAAATCACGCACGTTTTTTGAATTCAAACGCAGTTTTGGTGACCCTTTCTAAATTTAGCATATTAATCCACTCCCTTTTTCTTTTTCAATTTTGGGCGCATCTAATGAGTGTGTTTTTTTTCTCCCCCTCTATCAATCTTAGGTTGTATGGGAAATTCAAGTACATAAGTTGGCTGACTTATCTCCGGCAACATGTGAGGCGGAATCAAATTGAGATCCCTGAATTTGTTCAAGATCATGATCGACACTTGGAGCTCCGTCCGACGATTGAATATTGTCTGGAGATTGAGCATCCGAGGCCCCGTTGTTCTCTCATCCAATCCGATTCTGCTTTCGATGTTTACTCCATGAGGTGCATTGCCTGATAATAAACAGTCCAGGCGACATTCTGTGTCTAGATATAAATATTATTGTGAGATAGATGAAGGGGAAAAAAAAAAAGAGAGAACTTTTAGTAATCTTTAGCATAGGAGGGCGATGATCTTTTTTTTTTTTTTTGGTTAAGTTTTTGCCTTTTTCGCTTTTGCTTTATGGTCTGTTTTCGGATGAGGAGTTGTCATCGCCTTCAATGTTTTGCGTGTTTGTGTAGTTGTACAGATGTCTCAATGAGAGGTAGGTATGGTCGAAATATTAGTGTTGATCACTTCCCTTTCATAACTCACAGTTTTTTGTATGAGTGTTTCGATAAATGGACTCTGCGAAGACACTTCAAAAGCCTAAAATCCATGTGCAAAACATTTCTTTGCAACTACCACTTTATTTTTAAAAAATGCTTAAAAATCCATGTGCCATGGAAGAAAAACCTCAAGGTAGAAAATGTACCACTGAATTGATTGGCATTTGGGGCCGCCTTCAACCGGTCCAGGACGCAAAAATTAACTGCAATGCTCCTTAACAGACCCCGAGTTCTTTCAAGCAAAGTGGCCAAACCTCACCACAAAAAGTGAAAGGACGCTGCGCCGCCGTCAATTATCACCTTCTCCCTGCGTTAATTGAGCACTGCCTCAACTGTATATAGGGTACGGGTCTCATCCAGTTGAGTTTAGCTTGAACAGTGCATTATTTGAGCTCGAGTTTCAGAGTTCAAACTCGAATCACGTCAAGCTCAATTCTAGTTCAATTTAGTTTAATTGAATTCAATCAAGTTTAAACAAGGAACAAGATAGATGTTTTATATTAATAATAAAAATTTTAAAAAAAATATATATATATACATATGTGTGAATTTCGATTAAACTTGATGAGAACTTCGTATGTTAAAGTCGAAGTCGAACTTGAAACTTCGTATACTAAAGTCGAAATCGAGTTCGAACTCAAGAAACAGTTTGAATGGCTTGAACTCAAGCTCGCATGATCGAGATCGAACTCAAATCTTGACCGAATAATCTCGCAAGTTATTTAATTTAAATTCGACTTATTTGCGCCCTTACAAGAGTTTTTGATCCCTAGCATTCTTTGTCATTTATGTCCAACCTAGAAATATTCGTCTCCTTGCCATTATTTGGAACCCCCAACTACCGCCCTCCAACTCCTGTAGTTACAGTACTACTAGTCCATTTAGACGCTTCTCTCTCTCTCTCTCTTTGGGCCGAATGATGCAATGAAGTGTGCCGCATGTGAAAGTTGGGCAGTAGGCGTTACAAATTTATTTCTTTTTACTCAACCGTTACAAGTTCTTTTCCAGGGAAAGAACAAGTTCAGGTCCCGCGGCTGATCTCATTGAGCGTTAGATACATGGCGCTGTATTTATTTATTTGGATTTTTTTGGGGATTTTGGGAAGGAAGAGAGGGGGTGGTTAATGGAAACATCGATCTCTATATAGAAGCCAGCTGATTGAAGTTGATAGGGGTAACATACTCATCAGCCTCTCCTCCATAAACTAGTTTATTGGCCGCCAAATAAGAAACATTTTGAGTGGGATGATACCAGTCCCAGAAGAAGAAATCTTTTCGCTTCTGGCAAAGCTTGGATTGCGGGGTGCATTTGTCTTCTCCATTGAAGGGCTCCTGTCCCGCAGCAGGCTTCTTTTACGTTTTTAAACCCTGAATTAATATTTAACAACTTGATTTGAGTAATTAACTCCAGTTATTAATTAATTCTTATGCATAATTATTAATATATAAGTAACGCTACCAGTTCATAAATCCAGAAGATGATATTTTTTGTACCATGTGAAAGAGGATTGCCGATAATAGATATCCGTGGCTATGTCGTACGCATTTCCAAGCGAAAACTTCACTCCACCGAGTGAAGAGCTGAAGTTTCACAAAAGGTCGAGAGTTGATGCGTAGAATACTTAGAGCAAGGCGGTGAAGAGCAAATGATTTGTTCTTGAAGTCGTAGCGAACATATTCAAGCAGATCATTGCTTCCCACCCTTATGATGTACAACAAGGAGTTAGCCAGCAGAGATTCAGTTTTTGCTTCACCTAGCAACTCCGTCATATTTCCACGAACTGTTGCGAATTGTTCAATTTGTTTCCCTAGAGGGACAACATTTGTCTGTTCATTTGCAACAAAATTTAGTTAGTGAGATGTGATGCTCGTCTCGTCTTTCCAGCTTCATTTTTACGCATGATAAGTGTAAGAACTCAAGTAGACTGACTAATCATGCTAGCCTTTGTTCGTAACTGAATAAGATCAGGGGTTAATCAAGAGTCTTACAAATGGCCTAGATCCAGTTTCTCTGCAAATTCCAGATCCTCCAGAAGCAAAATTCACACCATGCATGCAGTGTATTGCTTTTGAAACAAGACATGCTCTGCACCAGATAGAGAAAAGCTGGCGGGCTCTCCTCGAAATCACCCAATTGCCTCACTGAATCAAAAAAAAAAAAAATCATTCATGAAGTTCATCATTTAGCCAAACGTTAATGGTCATTGGATTGACACGAAAACAATTTTTACCAACTAAATCAATGGTGTTAAAGCCATTGCTGGCTGAATCTCCCAGTTGGTTTCGAGTGAGGGTAATCAATTCCATAATAACGGTTGTCAGCTCCAGCTTTAAATAATTGTTAGTCCCAACATCAGCAGTTGAATCACCAAAGATAAAAATGGCTGGCACTTCTGCACTGCCGAAATCAGCTGCAATAATCAACCCTAAGAGCAGAAACCCCTAAATAGGCTAGACAGGAATACTTTTCGCACATCGATCCTAGAAAGCATCTGATAAAACATAGGCAGATCAACCTCGGTATCATCCACGCTCATACAGATAAACGGACACGAAAATGCACGACGGATTTTTTCTGCGGACAATATATAAGAAGCAATATAAAATGGAAATTTGGCATTTCCAAATTTCTCTGTAATTGGACTTAATTAGGAGGCCTCCCAATAGACCAAGCACCTTTTAAGTCTATATCGATCGATCCGGATGAACATATATATATATATATATATATATATATATATATATATAGGAAAATGGTGTATACAACGAAATTTGAAAAAATACTTACTAGTAGTTGATTTTTTTGCGCAAAAATAAAATTGTTGAGAAAAAACTGGATGGTTTGCATAGTTAAATGCCATGTTAACTTTCACTAGTATTAATACTAAGTCATGTTTTATTTCTAACGTAATAAGTACAAAATATCGATATTTTAGGGTACTTGTAACATATTTAATTACCCAAATCTTTCAACCAGCTGTTTTCCATGTTTTCTTTATGCATTTCATTCCCTGCATTTTTCAAGTACCATATGCTTTCATGCGTGATATGAGACAGATTCAATCATATTACGTGATTGCAAACTAGTTACTGTAACATTAAAAGTACGATGATTAATTGCACTTTTTCCCTTGTTCCAACAATTTTGCATTAACATTTTTTCCCGGAGGAGAGAGGATGGGGGGCGGGGGTGGAGAGAGTTGGGTGGGGTTGGCCTTGTTTAATATTTATACGCGACAATGTCTAATGATGTTAATTTTTTTTTTTTTTTTTGGTCAACCCAGGGAGTATCCCAGCTTTGTCAGACTAATCTCCCTGGACCTGGAGTACCCCGCGCCCCTAAGAGCACCATATGTGAAACCAGACTCGAACCGCACCCCACGAGGAATACCCCCGAGGATTCACCGGCTGAGCTGACCCCGATGGGCTCTAATGACGTTAATTCCCGTGGCACAAATCGAACTAAGAAAGGTTTTTCCCCGTTTGGATTGTACTTTTTGTAGAAAAAAAAAATTTAGGTTTCTGTGAGAATATTTCTTGTCATATTTTTTAATCATTTTTTATCTCATTTATTTCACGTTCTATAGGAAAAAATGATTATATATAATCATTTTTTCCCCAAAAACTTCCCAAAAAATGCAATCCAAACGGATTACATTGTTCAGAAAATGAAAAGTACTTCTCCAATTGTTGGCAATTATCCAATTGAAGCTACGTCCAAAGTACCAAATTCCTATGAGAATTATTTTTGAATATCCACTTTTATCGTACTGTCGTTTTAATGAAAAAAAAAAAAAGGAAGGGAAATGTGAGTGAAAGTTTAGGTGTCACGGGACAAAACTTAAGGAGTTCAGTTTAATACGACTTTAATTTTGATTCCTAGAATTGCCATCTTCGTCATGCCACCATAACAAGGTATTTTAAGAATGACTTGTTAGAGCAAGTCATTCTTTTTTTTGTACCTCATTTTTTTCCCCTTGAAAAAAGTTCAACAGGTTTGCTGTGGATTGATTTTGATACTATTCCTAAACCCTATCCATGTCTGTACCAAACGTAAAGCAGCATGGAAAACAAAATGCAGCCGGATAAAACATCAAAAATTTTCACAGAACAGTCTGAAATGTTAGCACTTAATGTGTCATTGTTTCTTTTTCTTTTTTTTTTTTTCTCTTTTTGATGCTTAATATGTCGCATTTTTGTAGCTCTCAGTTAATATGTATTACAAAATTTGGATCTAACAGCTTCTAGGAACAGATTGCCTAATGAGTCTGAAAGAGTTCAGTTGGTAGCCTAAGATTAGAAAGGGGAGAAAATAATTTGGCTTTGTATTACTTCTAGACTCCCGGTACAAAATTAAAAGAACTAACCTCTTCGCACCCTAGCCTTTGTCCTATTCTATCCTTTAAAAGAAGAAAATACCCAAAAAAAAAAAAAAGTGCAAACCATGTCCTACAATTTCAATTTACCTGGAAAGCTTTTCATCCTGCACTGATGCTAATACTTTACAGTAAATTCTACACCACTGATCACTCATCTCTCCCAATGGCAAGGCAACATCCCATAAGAACCTCCTTTTCACTGCGTCCTGTCCTGTTCCTGTTCTTCAGCTACAAAAACTTCTTCTCTATGGCAATCTGAATCAGGTGTAATAAGAGTCATGGACACCCAAAAGAGGATTCAAATTGGTTTCAGCATCATCCATGACCATCAATGGTTTGGACTTCATTCTTCTAGAACAGAATCTTGCAAGAACTTTCTTCCAACTCATGTCATAATATATGGTAAAGCTGTAGATAGAAGTAGTCCGTCGTGACAAACTCTTGATCAGCAACTGTTAAGGATCGTTCTTCTCACTCTTTGAGGGCCTAAATTGTTGAACAACTAAAACTGAACCACTGAGATCAAACTCTGGAGAGGCCAAGAAATCACCAACTGTACCAAGCTCAGGACACTCTTCCCAGTCACTCAATCCAATTGTTGGAGGTGATTGCGCTCGCCCACCCTTCCCTACTATAAACATTGCATACATGTCTGCCATGTCCCTTAAAGCTGATGCGGTTTCTGCACCATTTTCGACATACTTCTCTACATATCCTATTCGTCCAGATGTTACATACCTAATAATGTCGGATACCATAGAAATCATGAGTAATATAAAGCAACTCATCAGCATTATCTTGAAGTGATAACAATAAAGCAAACAGCAAAATCCCAATACATTATCCATGACCAGTGAAAAATTTTTCGTCATTTTTAATCGGGAACAAAACAGATAAGAAGATTCTTTTATACATGTAAGCATTTCTTGAAAACCAGACAAGACTTTCAACCGTGGAGGCAACATGAACAAAAAAATAGAACTATGCTCAACATCTATTCAATTGAAAGACATGCAAGTATCTGAAACGAAGCTGATGAACTTACTAAACCTCAGAATTTATTTCAAGTACCGACACAGGTGGAGAACAATTATGTTCATAAACAAACTGAAATTATGATTAGTCAAGAGAACAAAATCGATTAGTGAAGTAGAATAATAAACCAATATTTAGTCCGCTAAAATTACCAGGGATGTGAAGAGCAGCATTGTTATTAGTGCACCAGAATGAAGCTTAAGATTACCTATTGTAGAAGTCAGTCAAAACTCCTGCATCTGCATCATTCTCGCTATCTGGTATTGCCATCAAAATGTCTTTCTCCTTGGTATCAAAATTGACACCTACAAGTTCCCTTCTAGCAGGTGTTGGAAGAAATCTAATAATAGTGAGGTTTATATGATGATGCATGCCAAGACGTTTACTAAATCCCAGTGCCTCACGATCATCAGGACCACCAAAAAACAAAGTTGCAACATGCTGCAAAGATTCAGAGCCTGACACATGAGAGGCCCCAGCTGTCAGTCCTCGATCCACAAGAATGGCAACTGAGCACGGGGCATGGCGAAGAATTTTCTGATTCGTGGTCCTTAAGCCTTCCTTTCCACTCTCCAATTTTCCATCTATTCTCTGGTACTTGTGGAAGGGTAGGATAATGATAGATGCTCTTGTATCTTCAGCCCATTCGCACACATCTGAATACATGCTGACTAAAGGTGATACCACTTTAACTTGATGTATCATAATTCCTGTCTCAGCAGTAAATATATCTACTGCCTCATTAATTTCTACCACGTCATTACCCCCGTACTCATCATCATCACTAATCTCATCAATTTCTTTCTGGTGATACATCAAGTTGGTATTAGTTTTCTCAGGTAGCTCAATTAGGTGCATCAGGTGGGCAGCCACAGGAATGCTTTCGGAACTTTTTGATGCAGCAATTAGCCCTACCATGGTACCTACTGACCGAGGTCCATGAACACAGGTCAGTAGTCGTAGCTCAGAGTCCGGACTTTGTGATTCAAAAGCTATGTGCCTGTATCCTAGGATATCACTTTCTCTTCTTACCATAAATGTTATAATTAGTCCCCAGATCAATGAGTTGAGGACAATGGCTGATATCATCAAGTTGCAGAATAGAGGATTTGCCTTCTGCAAAAGAAAAAAAAAAAAAAGAAAGTTATCTCAAATTAGATAGTGGTTTTGGTCCCAACCAGACGGAGAAATATCTGAACACACTCTATCTGTTAAAGGAGAGGGTGGATGGTTCTTTATGCTTACAGGGAAGCAATAATGGCTCATGCGGTTTCTTTGAACCAGCTCTACTTATGTCTTTGGTGCAATCTAGCTTGATGAAAGCTTCAAGACAATCTTTACAAGCTATTAGCCATTAAGTTTATTTTACACCTTAAATACCTCCCTGTCTGGAGATAAACAAGGGACGACTGAAATTTATCACTAGTCATTAGTAGGGTCTATTGGTCTTTATGTATTGCAAGCATAGAGAAAAAAAGCCATTAGCTTTCCTAAAATACTAGTCAAAATCCGCTTGGATTTGTCAGATACAAATGCACTGTAATAGGAAATATGTGTTAAAAGAACAAAAGGAAGTATGTGTTAAAGGAACTTACTCTATCTTGAGCTGCAATACCTATTGTCAAGATGTCAACATGACCTTTCAAGTTCATCAGAAAAGCTATGAGGACTCCCTCATTCAAAGGAATCTTCAGGTGGGAGCAAGCAGCAAGTGTGCCAGTAATCTTGCCACCAAAGCTCAACAGTATTACCACAAAAACAACAAAGAATTTGGCTAAAGAGTCAATGGAAGTCAAATCAGCCCTGAAACCTGAGTAGCCAAAGTAAACTGGAAGTATAAAGTTATGAACTGCATAGGTGAGCTTGATCAACAATGTACGAGTGGCTTTGCCTCCTCTAGGAAACATTAGTCCAATGAGGAAACAAGCAACTATGCTACTGAATCCCATAGTTTCAAGCCCTGTGGCAGTAACAAAGACAATTGCCAACAGACAAAGTACTTCGGTGTTTCTCAGGTACTTCTGATTCCTATTCCTCCTGTTAAGCCATTTTGCTAGATGTGCATTGAGAATGATAACTGCTATAACAATGATGAAATATAGGATCCCTAGTAATACCCACCTCATGCCTGAATAATGCTTCCTACTCGCTGTAACTATAACCAACAATATCACTGCATAAAAGTCACCAAGCAAGGAAGAAGATATGGCCATTCGCCCAACATCTGATGTTGAAATCTTCAAATCAGCTGCTAATCGGACCACAATAGGAGAGGAAGTATTAGCTAAGACTACTGTGATAATTGTGCCCATAATTACTGCATGGTCATGGGAATCAGTCACATCATATATAAAGGAGGTCATAGCGATTGCAAAGAATGTACACATTAGGCAACTGCTACCAGCGATAATGCTCACAGGACGCAGGTTACGAATTAGATAAGGAAAATCCATCTCCAGCCCGATCAAGAACATGATAACTATTCTAGCTTGCATAGCCATTATTTCATAGTAGTCACCAGCAACAGAAGGAAAGAAGAATTCATTGACTTTAGGGATCATCGACAACCCTGAGGGACCTATCACAAACCCAGCCTGTCCAATGAAACCAAATGCAATGAACCTAGTGTAAGATATGAGTCTTATCAAATAATCCAAAAGGGGTTTCACTCAAATAAGGAAAGGAACAATTTAAACAGCACCTCATTCTTGGCACCTTGTTATCTAGAAGAAAAAATCATTATCTGACAAATTAGGTATCTCTCAGAAACAGAAAATCATAGGCACTTAATATCAAGTGACTATTATTCACAATCCGACCCGGTGCAGTAGCGCTTTAACTTTTTTAGTGGGATGCAGATGTACAAATTTAATCATTTTGATTTTTCGAAGTATCTTAAGAAGTGGAAAAGTTTACTTACTCTAATCAGATGTTCATGCCAATGAATTCTCTAAACGTTGTAAAAACATAGTAAATTAACAGCTCCAATAGTAAAACTGGCAAAAAAAGAAAAAGAAAAAGAAAATCCCATTAACATCGTTGTTTCTTGGATATCCAGTTCAGAGAAGAAACATGCAAAAGGTACACGTTACAACAATGTTCATGACAACAGCTACATTGTTTTTCTAGCACGAAATCAAAATCAACAAGCTCATTGTATCTCAAACTAGAAAATTTTTTGCCATTTCACCTAAATTTGGAGCTTAATTATACTGGCTTCTGTTAATTCCAACAGAAATGAACCAAAGCCGTGATCAAGATATGGCCTTTTTTCAGAATTAACTCTGCTAACAACAAAACTTCCCGGCCAATGCTTCAATCAGTCAATCACTAATGCTTTATAAACATTTTAACAATTCTCAATCAATTGAACTAAAAAATGCTGATTATATGCATTCATTCATAAAATAAATACGATGCCTATAGATGACATACTTACGAGAATTTGGGCAACCGGTCCTGGTTGGCCTAAAGGCTTGAGCAAAAGGTGAAAGAAGTGAGAGATAACAAGAATGCATGAAACCTGCATACTCATAGAAATAATGGGATTGACAGCAAATATGACCTGACAGGCCCCCGGCCGTGGATCACTCATTTTTCAACAAATATATATGAATTATGAGGGAGAAACTTTTGGGTTATGATCTATAAGGTAAACCATGAAGAACCAAGATCTAGTTATCTTTTGTAAAGGTGGTGATCAAATTAGTGTCTTGTAAGATGTTGGAGAAGGGCAGGGAGGATGTTGGGATGTTGGGATGGGAAAAAAAAATCTTTAGGATCCTCCCTGCTATTTGCCTCACTATTCTGTGAATTCTTGATGCTATGCTTTTTCTGAGACAATGGACACTGTCATAGGAATTGGACCAAACGGAAAAGGAAGAGGCTGCTGACACAAGTTTCCAATAGCTTCTTCACACATGTTTCTTGGGGATGGAGGGCCGTGTATAGCGGGCAAATGGCCCTTCAATTTGATAACAGAAGTGTCTTACAACTCAAGTACTCTAATATCACTTCTTGCATAAAGTAGCTGGTTTTTGTAAAACACAACAAACTGATTTTTTTGTAGAATTAACGCAAGAAACATACGATGTCCGTGAACCTTTTTTTTTTTTTTGACATTTAAGGATAGACTACCCTGATAGAGTGTAAGTAAATACATACCTTCACAAATTATTTGTCGCCCTACATAAACATGTCAATTTCAACTGTATTGTAAGTTGTAACCATTGAATTTGATGCCCTTAGCATGTTACATGCTTACTAACATCTGTTAGAGGTAGAATTAGAGTAGCAGCTGTAATGATTAATTATTAGGTGTGACAACTGCTCAATTTACACCGATTCGAGTTGACTTATGTAGTTTACATTATCCAATATCAAAATGGCTTTGACAAAATATATATATATATATATATATATATATATATATATATGTATATATCAAGATGGCTCATCTCATAGCTTAGTTTTTTTTTTTTTTTTTTCAGTTGGAGGGTATCCGGACCACACCCGACTAGTCCCACCAATCCGAGGAGAGCGGGCCCCACCGATCCTCGGAAAATTCCGCCAGGTTACCAAGTTCGGAATCGAACTCAAGCCGTCTCACACTAACGAGGGCTACACGACCGCCCGAGCAACCCGTCGAGGGCATCTCATAGCTTAGTTGGATGTAGATTTATATCTTGTAACTGTTCCGTCCATCTTGCTCATTTGTCATTTAATTAATGTAAAAGATGACGAAAAATTCATAAAATTTCATAATCAAATATGATTATATTATATCCAACACATTATACGCATAATAATAATTATACGTTGTAAAGCATATTAATTCACATTTGCAAACCATTTGAATGCCTTTTATAACATCCAGAGCGGAAATTCCTCGTACCTAACAACTTTGGTGGACTTGATGTGTGAACAGAAGTGGCCAAAAATGTGAAACCACTTTTTAGATTCGATTTGATAATATAAAAAAGTGCTAAAATTGAATTTTTTCAGATATTCAGAAGTTTTGAGTGTTTGATAAATAAAAATTCATATGCTGAACTTGTTAAGCGGTGCTGAATTTGTATGTATTTTTTTCAGCACAAGAATCGTAACTCAATGCTTAATTTTAATAAGAATCAACAGATTTACTTCAAATACCTTATTTTATCTATCAAATTTACCCTTATTTGTTAATTACGATCAAAATTCTTATCTAATTAAATGACTTGATATTTTCTATTTAAAATCCTTATATAATTAAATAACCTAATATTCTCTATTCAAAATCATTATCAAATTAAAATCCTTATCCAATTCTGGAATTTCTATTAAAAATATTAGATGTTATATGAATTGTTGGATTGTAATGTTTTCCATAATGTATTTCATCTTTTATATTAATTTGATTTAAAAATAAATGTTATTGGCTTCATATCTACCATTTTAAACTAATTAAATCATAGATTCTATTTCTTTTTTGGATGAAAAAAAGAAGGAAAAAATTATACAATTTAGCTTATTAAGCATTCAGTTATAAATATTTATCAAACAGCATAGATATCTTCAGCATTGAAATTTAGACATTCATATATTTCTTTTCTGTATTTAAAATTTAACAAATTAATTATTTCAATGTTCAGATTTCAAAATTTAGATTCAATCTTATCAAACGGAATAATAATCAACTATTTCTCATTTGTACACACTGTTAAAGAAAACAAAAACAAGTACACGCTATTAAGAAAACAAAAACCGGTTAATCATCGATTAACTTATTAAATGCCTGGTAATCTCCTTCTGTCCGTCCCCATGGGTCGTCGCATTTATGAGTATTGCAGCCATTTTTTCTGCAAGACCCCTCCAGTCTCTTCTTCTCCTTCCTCCTACTAAACCGAGTTAAATTAATTCCCAAGTTTGAATTTGATTCTCTGAAATTTTCACCATTATTTAATCAGAGGTTGAAGAAAATGACAATGTTTTGAATGCGAGGGAGATAATAATGGCTGTACCATGCGGTGGTTCCCTCCGCGACACATGGGATCGTTTCTTCGACCGGTGCTCTCGGTTTTTTCCCTGTCTTTCCGATCCTGGTAATAAGATACTTTGAAATTATTATGGGTTTTTCTTATTGGGTTTAGTCGAAGCTGAATTTAGTAGTGATTTTGAGACTTTTTTTTGGGGTATCTTCTGGGGTGGAAAAAACTAGCTCGAAGATCTGCTTTGTGTTTGAAGGTGGCGTTGGTGGTGCTGCACTTGATCTATGTTAGCATTCTTTTTATTTTCGACAAAGATTTCATTGAGAAGACCAAGCAACAACCTTGGTAAGCTTCTTGTTATGGATTTATGTTAGTCTGCTTACTTAATTTTGTTTTTGTTGCTCAGTTGTTTCAGTATTTAGTTATTCTGAGAAATTGGACGAATGAAATTCTAAAAGTCGTGGAAGCTGAAAAAAATCTGAAAAAGTTACGCAAGAATAGGAGATAAAATGGGAGAAGGAAGAGATTGGTTGGGTACACGCTGGAAAAACAAGAGTTTCAATTTTGTGGTTTCAGTATGGTGAGACTGTATTCCGAATTGCGTTTTTGGCCAGTGGCAGAATGTGGAACTGCAAGGAAGTTTATCATCTCTGTTCTTCAATTTTGTTAGGCTAATATGGGTGGAGCTTCAGGCTTGCTCGGTGGTGCATTTAGTATCTATTTAGGCATAGCCCTATTGCCTATTACAGGCTAAAATGAGGAGTATCTTGGAGGTTATTAGAAGGGCTTTAAGTTGTCTAACCTCAAGTACCAGAAGAAGACATTATTTATGATGATTGGTTCACGTGCTGCGTTACGTGTTTGCTTGTTGTACTGTTAAGTAGTTAACTGATATGATCTCAGTTATATCCTCTTCAAATTTGATGCAGGTATACTGCAATATATTTGTCATTATTGGTGGCTACACTGGCTCAATATTTCCTCACCTCTAATACTTCTCCAGGGTATTTTTTTCATCAACTATGAGCTTTTGATCCACCAGAACTTGTGCTCAACTGTCATTCTTAGCTTTCTTTCTTACTGGAAATTTCTTTTAAAATACAGTTATGTTCTTGAAGCAATGAGGGTCGTTAACGAGACTGATGCTTTAGTAAGGAGAAAATCAGTGGCTTCAAAGTAAAACACCGTTCCTTTGATTCTAAACGTATGGGAGAAATTTAGAGATTGGAGAATAATTTTATATTGCTTTTTTATTGGTTTATGGAAGTACTATGAGTTTCTAGAATTCATCTTAGTATGCATTCTGCTTCTCTAATTGCTGTCTGTTTTGCCTTTTTTTGATGTTTCAATGATCAAGCAAAGACAACCTGCTTCAAGCAACAATGGCAGTTTAGTTATTACTGTGGATGCGGACCAGCTCGGAAGAAACCTTTTAGGGAGTAATGCAACATCTTGGACAAAAGTAGTGATGGATATGTATCCTCCTGGAACCTCAGTTAGGTAGGAAAGCTTCGTGTTATTGGCTGCTAATACTTTTATCTTGCAGATTTTCCACTTCGTTAGTTCCCCATGTCTTTGATTAAGAAAGAGAGACAGGGAGGTTGTAAGTTGGAATAAGTGCTAGACCACCTCTTCCAATTGTGACTTTCATTTTAATAGTTATTTTGTCTAACTTTGATCCCGTCTTCCTTTCATTTTAGAATTTTTTGTTTATTTATTTATTTGTTTCCCCTTTACCCCTTCTTTTTGGTGGTTTTGGGGTGTTTGTGGCGGATGGAATTGCTGTCAAAAGCCACACCAATTTCCCAACTGATTGTTGTTTTTTACTTTTTCAGAACCTGGACTTGCTCCTACTGCAATGTTGTGCAGGTAGATTGTTTTAGATTTTCTCTGACTTTCTAATTCGGAATATAGCTTATCTTAAGATTATAGGTTGCTGGAGTGTCCATCGGTTGGCGAAAGTTGTACGTTGGTCATTTGATAGCTGTTGATGTTTCCTGCTGCTTCTCTGTTGGCAAATGTTGATGGAGCATGAATATAAACTGATATGACATTGCAAGGAGAGAAAATTGGTCACATAGTCAAATATTATTTTTTTTTTCATTTTACTCAATTTCATGCGATTAACCTCCAAAATCAAAAGCATTCTGATGCCATTAGAATCTGATTATTTAGATTGACTTTGCCTTTGGACATTTTGTCCTAGACTGGTAAAATTTCTCTAGAACATGCTTGCTCCTTTTAGCAAAGCCAATGCAGCCTCTCTCTCTCTCTGTGTGTTGTCTGTGTCTCTGAGAGAGAGAGAGAGAGAGGAGGCTGCATTGGCTTTGCTGACATTCCCAGCTGTACTTTGCAAAGATACAGCTCGTAGTATAGCTTTGGTAATTGATAAATCCAATCGCATTTCTGTTATGCATTCATATTAACTGAGAGATGAGGAGTCACAATTGTTCACTTGCTTTTCTGACTTAAAAAATTTGTTGTCATCTCCTTCTCATGGTTGGGTTAGTTGAAAGTCAGGATGGTGGTACAGTTGTGTTATTAGTAGGTTGTATTTTTATTTTATTTTTGTTTACTTATTATTATTTTTTTTTTTTGGTGCTCTGAAGTTGTTACCTTTAGATATCCAACAAATAGTTTTAGCTTGACAGTGGATATTAATCGATTTTTCCAACTTCTGTACTGATTCTTGTAGTTGATGTGGTATGAAGTTACAACTGATGCGAGAAATCATCGCAGTCTCACACTTTGCCGCTATTTTTTTTCCTTCTCTGTAAGCCAATGGCTTCAGGATCCATGTTGATTAATCTTTAGATGGCTTTCAACAAATTTATTATATAAAATTTGGTTTAGTTAGCTAACTACAATGTACTAACTGTTAGGATTCTGCTAACTTTGATGCTTGGGCTGCAAAAATCAATTCTTGAGAACCTTTTATGGCAAATCCTCATGGTTGTTTATTTTTTGCAATGGTTAGTCCCATGAAATTTGTAGTGCCTGATCTCTTTCTGATTGTAAAACTCTTGTAGCCCCCACGAGCTAAGCATTGCCATGATTGCGACAAATGTGTGCTTCAGTTTGATCATCATTGTGTCTGGCTGGGGACATGCATAGGACAGAATAATCACTGTCGGTTTTGGTAAGTGTTCATTCTCTTTGTTACTTCTCTAGCTTCTTCTGTTGCTTATCCTGATAAATTTTGCTTGTTTGTTTTACCAGGTGGTACATTTGTGAGGAGACAGCATTGTGCCTTTGGACCGGTATCTTATACATTTCATATCTCAAATCAAATATAACAAAGGCATGGTAAGAATCTGTCTAATGTGCTTCATACATCACTATGAATATTAATATATTTTTTCTTGTTTCTTATTTCTCTGTGTCTCTGTTTATTTGTTTATTATGTATGTTTCCTGTTTAAATTTGGGTCGGGGTTTTGTGTAGAGGAGGTTGTTTGATGTGCCATGGTGAAAATTCTTTTGACTTCCTTGTAAATGATAATGGCTTCTTTCAGGTGGGTCGATGTTATTATGATTTTGCTGTTGGCTACTTTATTTGTTTCGCTTATCTTCCTGGTTCTCCTCCTCCTGTTTCATAGGTAAGTGCTCTAATTTCTTTAGGATCAACAGTTCCTTGCATATTTATGCAATTTGTGGGTGCAATCTGTCTTCTTTAGGTGGAACATGCGAAATTAACGTCTGTGTAAAAGATTGTCTGGTTGTTCCTGTCACATGCTTATTGGGATGTTGAAAGTGTTGATCCCACTTTGAAATGGATCTACCATTTTCTTTTTTGAAAGTGCTGCTATTTTTTTGTCTAGTTAACATAGTGAAGAAACCTTAGCCTCTTCTGGTAAGGACTATCTGAAACATGGTGATGTAAGTTGGAACTTCTTATGGCTAATTAAAGTAAGCGTACCTTAACATCAAAATTCTGTTACCACTATATATGAGGCATTGTTATACTCTTATGGTGTGTAAATATTTTCAGAATATGTGATGAAGTACAGCTTTTGGAAAATCAAATTCTGAATTTTTTAAGGTGGAAGTTGAGGTTAACAATTGAATTCAATGGACAATTAACTATTTCCCTGAAACTTTGTTTGTTGAACATGTTGCAAATATTGACACATTGACAACGCGAACCAAACCTGATAGTTATTTTTGGAATTGCCTGAATAAGTATCTTTGCCTTCATCTGCATTGTCTAAAAGGAAGTTCATTTTGAAAGGCTGCACTTTGTATGAGCTTTGGGAGCTTGGGTGAATTTGGATAGGCGTTAGGTTCATCACATGCTTGTGCGGTGGTGTAATCAAGTGTAGTTTAGTTATCTAAGGTCCTGCTCCAAAACGTTCTTGGCATTGTGCATCTAAATTTTTCCTTATTTCCTTCAGATTAATGAATTGTGAAAATATTCTTGTCTTCTGAAACAGCTATCTCATTATGACAAATCAAACAACCTACGAACTTGTAAGGCGAAGGCGCATTCCTTACCTGAGGTCAGTTGGACGCTTCTGTATGCTTTTTAGTTTGGACAACACTTTGTACCATCTGCCTTCCTATGCAATCAGATTGATAGTTGTTCTTTATAGCATGACTATACATCTGCATCGAGTCAGTTCTGGTTGACCTGAAACACTACTATGTTGAGCTGCAGGGGAATTCCTGAAAGAGTTTATCCATTTAGTCAAGGAGTATGCAGAAATTTGTACAACTTCTGTTTAGCCCGAAGCACGTATTACAAGATGGAGCGTTTGCCAACAGCACAGGAACTGGAGGAGAAGGCAAGGCCTTATACATGCTTGGATGCATTAACTTGTCGATGTTGTTGATGATTACTTGGCGTTGGGCCTTTAGTTTTCATTGTATACTTTTCCGTGTTGCAAAGAATGGTCATCATTTTACAGTATGTCCTGCATTTGTTTATTCAACGCTGGAGATGGTGAAGTCAATTTACCAGTTTTGCTGGACCAAAACAAAATGTATTTTTCTTTTTTTCCATATGCAAACTCGTCTCATTCTTATTCTTGGCTCCTTATTTCAAAGAGTTTTCTTGAATATTTGCTGATCGAGAGTCGAGACGCAGAGGGTTTTGAAAGCATGGAACTCAAGTTGATAATAAAAAAAAGAAAAATCATCAGACGGGCATCAAATTTCTCAAAGTAATTTCATTTCCTTTGAAATTCCCATTCCTTACAAGCTTTGATTAATTTCAGCAACTACGTCAGAGCTGTATACTCTACTGTGTAGCGGCTGGTCTATCCAACCTATCTAATTCTACAAAACTCAATTGGAAAGGATAAAAATGTAAGCAAAACTCAATTCAACCGGGCAAGAAAGCCAAGGGAAAAAATGCTGTGCAACATGTGAATATACAATATGGCTGAAGCGTGTAAGCATCACTTCCCGCCAGTCTTCCACTTTTTGGTAAAGAGAGTTACAGTTTTGGTGGGACTACGACTTCCTATCTCTGCTGGTCGTAGCATAGAGATAGGAGCTTGATGTTGCTTCTGATATTCCTTGTCATCCGTCAAGTGTTTCATCTCAAAGCTTCCCCTAGCAAGACCTCTGACAACCTGATGTATTACGCGTTAGAGAACAAAGGCAGGCATGCATATCTCAAAAATTTACAAAAGGAAACTGGATCCATGACAAGTATAATCAAAGATCAGATTTTGGATTTAGAATGCCAGTTTTTAACCAACATTCATCGTTTTTTATCTTCCGGCTGCAAAAAACTAACAAGTGCGAGTTGGTCCGTTTACTGCAAGAAACTAACCATGTATATTTGTTCGATCAACTGTTAAACTAGGTTTATTTAAGATCCTTTACTCACATAACAAACCCCCAAAAAAAACAGAAGAGGGAAAGGTAAAAATGTCCTGTTGAGCAGGAAAGTAGAAATACAGGCTAGTAGAGGATGATTGGCTTACCTTTAGAAGAATCCAGACCTTGAGAGAACTACTCAAGACTGCAAGCTTTGTCCTCTTTCCTGAAGTTAGATAATTACACATGTATCGATCAACTCTAAGAATAAATCTTGGCCATGAATTTGGTTTTTCAGGGTCTGCCTTCAGTTCCATCATTGACTGAGTATACGGACAAAAATTAGATATGCCAATAACAACAGAAAGATCACATAAATGGTAAACCAATGGAAAACATGATTTGGCAGGATTGTAGTGATAGAATTTATAATCTAAAGAAGTTAGCTCCCATGTTCTGACCATCAGAAGCAGAGTGTATCTCCAAGGACAATACGTAGTGAAGAGACTCCATAAGGTCCAGACTTACAGACTTCAATTCAACCGGTTGCCAAAAAATTAATATTTAGAAGTAATCCCCCACAATTTTATAATTTATGAACCAACCCAATACTGTCCAACCAAAAACACAGTCAGGCTACGCTCCGTGCCTAAATCTCTGATCGCTTCCTGTTTCTCCCTCCAACTCAGTTTCCACCATCAGCTTAAAGTTTATCAAAGCCTCAAGAGTCAAGACTTCAGTTTCCACCACATAAGTGGTGGCTTAGCCACACCCAACAATTCAAGCAACACAGATTTTCAATTTGGTACTACTATATTAGCTTTTTCTCCTGTATAAATTTGTTCAACTTTCAATAACTCCAATGGAAGACGAGTAAAAATTTAAAGCCCAGTAATAAACATACCAAATTTTGTATAAGCTCACTAAAAGTTCAAGTGGAAGACTCAATTCAGGTGGAGAAGGGAGATGCAGAGAATTAAGATAAGAGGGAGATTTTGTTTGATAATATGGATTTCAGCATAAAAGTTTAATGGGCATACTGTTTGCAGGAGGAGAATGGAAGGAGGTGCGGAGTGCTTTAGCCATGGCGCTGAAGAGAAGAAAGACGGGGGTGGTAGCAGGGGTGAGATTGGAGGTTTGGGAGAGGTGAGGAAGATGAGACAGTTAAGAAGGTACTGATTAACTGGAGAAGTCGGTAGCCCATTTGTCTTGAGAATAAATGAATAATTGTACAGATGAGACAGATCTGTAACTTGAATTAAAGTTACAGTTTGTAATTTAATCGTTTTTCCTATCTACAAATATTACCACTAACAGCTTTTCCTATATTATTATTCTGAATGCAGTAGGTTCTAAGGCGGCATAATATTTACTGATCACGGTATCCCCCCTTCCCCTTCCCCTTCCCCTTCCCCACAAGCCAAAAAGTAGGAGGAGAAAAGAAAAGAGAATGGTCTTACCAGCAGCCGGCAGATTTCACGTTCAACTTTAGAGAATGAAGTCTCTAAAGCTTCCACTCTACCAGTGCCACAACAGCATGTGCATGGTTCACTGATCATAAAAGTCACACTAGGTCTAACCTGAACACAGCAAATGTAAAAATGATAAATTAGGACTTAATCCTAATGAATAACTGATGTAGCAAATGCTTGCTCTTCATCAGTGAAAGAGAACCAAAAAGTTAATAAAATCAGAAAGAGAAAAGAAAATCTAAGTGGTCAACTCACCCTCTTGCGAGTGATCTCCATAAGCCCGTGCCTTGACAACTCAGAAACTTTGACCATCGATCTATCTCTCTCGACAGCCTTTTTAACTTCTTCATACACCAATCTTTTATTTGCTAGAAGTACAAGATAGGAGGTCAGCGCACATATTCACGTATATATTTTGATAACTGTAATGAAGCGAAAAAACTGGCAAAGACATTCGCATTATGATCTTCAGCTTGTATTACATCACGTAAATATTATATCTTTTACTGTAGAGATAGCTTTCAACCATAGGACTGTAAGAAAAGAGAATTGTAATGGAAAAACGATTATATCCACTTGCAGGTTCAAGATACCACTTTCATAGGAGAGTCCAAGTCACAAGAAGATTTACCAATTAAATTAGGCCACAAATTTATTCCAAGTACTAATTTACAGCTGTCGAACAAGTGTTTTCTGTCAGTAAATTAGATAAGATCCATATCATCTACAAATAATTATGTTCACAACATTCACTTTCTTTTTCCATCAACAATTAGGTCCTCCCCCCCCCCAAAAAAATAAAAAAATCCCCCAGCAACCTTGATTTCTCCACCTCAACCACCAACAACACTAAAGAAACAGAAGAGGTGTTGGCAGGAGGGAAGGAAAAAGCTTAATATATGTTGTCCGTACTTGTTAATTGTTGCAATCCACCTTGAGATTTGATTATCCAATCAATGATCTATGAAGCAATTTTAATCTGTCCTTCAAAGCTGCTTTCTTTGCAGTTAAATATCATGTTCTACAAAGATGCTGCAGATTAATAATAAATAGCTTAAAGACTTACAATCATCTTGCATGTCAATGAAATCAACGACAATAATGCCACCAATGTCTCTCAGCCTCAATTCCCTAGCAATCTGTAATAAATGAAATGCTCAGTTTAGTTATGAAGAACTAAACAGACCATCTAGTGATAGTAAAGCATGGTGGCTATGTCACACATAACCTAAATCAGAAGAGTACTACCAGCATAGCCCATATTTTGGCGACAGCACCACATCATGGAGGCAACCTTAGACTAAACCTTTATCAAAAACAATCATGGACACTATAATAAGGCAATACAATATGGATTTCATTCAGGACCTTAGCCATGCACTTCAGTGAATGAGGTCAAAGTGGTTGATTAAAACTTCAGCTAACACATGAAAAGTACTGTCCTTTCCTGTAGCATCTTACTGATCAATCTAGTTCTTCACACAAAGTATTCAGTTTGAATAAATAGCACTTTTTTTTCTTCTTCTCTCCCCAACTTGGCACTTCTTGCCTAATATGGTACAAAAGCCATTTTTATCAGAAACAGAATGGGCAAGAAACTAAAAGTCTTCTATCCTTGTTGCTATTGTTGCTACATAGGCAAGTCAACCTTAGTTCGCTCATAATTTTCCTGCATTCAAGTTTTTCCATCAAGAATTGTGTCCATCAACCCTTCTTAGCTATGTCCAAAATTTGGGCCGTTATCTATACCAGACATCCTTTTGCAGTGAAAAAAACATCTAAAAGATAAAAAGCTTTGGAAGTTAGCTCTAGCAGTTCATTTTCCCTATTCAGTGCTCAATAAGCAGGTAGAGATGTAAAATGTAGTCCCCTAGCTAGTGAAAACTGGGTAAACAATTGTTTTTTCTTGCAGATATGACAAAATCCTTGAAAGAAGATCATATAAAAACTTCATAAGTCTGCAAGACAAACAAATTGCAAGATTCACATTATGTAGGGAAAGAAAAAGAAAATATTAAATTGATGAAGATACTTTACATGCACATAAGAGCAAGAGCTAGGAAAAGAAAATGTATTTCAAACACCCTCTCCAGCATATGAAGCATAAGTAGATGTTGAAGTAAAAAGAAAAATTAGTTTCTGTACTTGTTTGGCAGCTGCGAGGTTGACATCAAGAATAGCTTTTTCTTGGGAAGTCCCATGACCAAGCATACAATGCCCCCCATTCACATCAATGGACACTAATGCCTCAGTTTGTTCAATCACTAGATAACCTCCATTATCAAGTGGAACCCTGGAACCATGGGATTTTATTAGCACAATGTGGAAGAACATCATATTCATATCTGAGACTAAGTCAATGGCAAAAGAATATGCAATAAAATAATTAGAAGAGACCAGGAAACACAAATTCTTATTCCCAGAAATGGTGTAAAAGAGAAGTAATGATAAGACCTATCTACCTCCCTTCACCCCCATACCCAAAAGGTTGATTAGTATAAAAGGTTTAATCCTTTCCGGGTTGATTAGTCACCAAAAAAGAAAAGGTTTAATATAAAAAAGAAATAATCCTTTCCGGGTTGATTAGTCACTAAAAAATAAATCATTTGATCCCAAGTGGAAGATCCTTATCAGAAAAGCACGTTCAACAAGGTATGATAGACTTAGAAACGTCATCAAAAATAAGGAAAGTAAAACATCCAAGGGAATGCAAGTAAACTAAAATAAGCTCACAAAAACCAAGTTCTCTTTGCAAGATTCAAACTTATCAAGCCTAATGTCAAACA